GGTATTAAGGTTTAAAGTTGCCATAATACTAAAATTATTTTCTTTCTACTTGACACAAAACTTGGTGAACTTGAACATTCTCAGCAAACGGTCACTGTCATGAACGAAAATGACAGGAATTGAAAAGAAATACAAGGGATAAAACAAGCATGATTTTCATTTAAGCTAACAGCTCACAAAATGTAGGCAGAGAAGAGTTAATTATTAATGATTTTTTGAACAAACAATTTGACATGCTGTCTTGATTTATTACACTCATAAATCAATGTTTTTGATTTTCATCATCAAAAAAGAAAATAAAAATATATGCAGCATGCCTGGAGCTATAACAACATAATGCCAACATGTAGATTTTGCTTGAAAATTGAATTACAATCATAATAAAATTGACCAAATTTACATATTCTAGTCAAATGGAATCCTTGGTAAAAGTTGAAAGTTTTAGTTTGGTGTGCAGCTAAAGAAAATGAATATCCTCCAACCAGGGAGGTAAAAAAGGTAAGCTATAAGCTTTGAGACAAGAAAAGCTACTTGGACCATAAATAAATACATTTCTGATAGGGCTGATACCAAATGGTTTTTCTGTTTCACATTAACTTGTGGGCTTGTTGTCATCATTTTGATACTCAAATTTATTTAAGCCTTGAAACAAATATTCCATGTAAACCTGATAACTTGTAACAAGCTTTGAGACATTTCCTTGAAAAAGCTCTTGGGGATGGGAAAAAACAATGTTTGTAATCTCTCGAACCAAGGTTGACAAGGAAATACAAATTTAAATATAGGATTTCACATTACATTACCAAGATAACACTACTCACAGAAGGTTTTAATTGCCTCAATATAATGGGCAGTAATTATATTAATACCATGGTAATAGGACTGAAGTGGACTCCAATTATGTCTGTAATCATATGAGTGATTCTTGTGATTAAATGAATCACGCTGACCTGATTTATTTAATCAACAGTATGTTTGCAGGGAGAATTGGAAGACAAATAGTTTTGTTACAAACAATGTTAATCATAATCCTGGACACTCAAGGATTTCAATATTTCCCAACCATTCCTGATTTTATGGATGCTGAAAAACAACTGTCTCTTCCTGACTTGATTATAGAGATTGGAAAGTAGCAAAACTGTTCATTAGTTGTTGATCCCTGACAATATTATAAATTTGAGTTTTCATCTGTTGATAATAGGGACCTTATGAAACTACGATGGCAATGGCGACCAGAATGTCAAAAAAGCAATAAATTTAATAACCAAAACAACAACTGCACATGCATCATGCTTTTTTGCACGTTTCTTTGCCTTCCCTGCACAACTACAACATGAAATGACCCAATTTTGAGTGGACTTGAGAATGGGAATGGCAAGGCGATAAATTTTTCTTTCTCTCTCTAAACTCAGAAACGGTTCCCTCTCTTCAGTTCCAACCTAACTTCCCTCCTTTCAAGTAACTGGGTGACTTGGTATAAGGGCGAAAAAGTTTTAAAGGACACAAAGTCTATTTTTCAACAACGTTTTCACTGGCATCGCCATTGTCAGAACGTAAGGTCCCTATCAAGGAGTTCATGCAACCACAATGATGATGGCAAAGAGGAGGCAAAAAAAAAACGATAACTTTTACAAGAAAAACAAAACCCTGCATGTGCAGCACATTTTTCATACATCTTTTAGCTGACAATGCATGGCAAGCACATGAAATTGCCTAATTTCACTTAGGACGTAAACTAACAATAACAAATTTTTCTTTCTATGATTAAGCTTGAAAGGGTCTCTAACCTCCACAAAAAAACTCCACGTTAATCAGGTTGGAATAGTTGCACGTACTTAAAAAAAGGACATACACTTTACTAGTGATGTTTTAACTCCCGTTGTTGTCACAGTTGCATAAACTCCCTAATGATCATGGACCACAGCACAGATTTGAGACATTTTGAAAAATAGAAACATTCCTGATTCTCCTGGATTGTCACTGACCATGCCAGATCAATGGGCTCAAGTTAAGACTTTACGTTAACATTCAACTAATTTCCAATGGAGAATAAAAACATGAAAATGCTCCCGAATAAGCAACTGATATAAAAAGTACATTTTGAGCTTTGATGGAGAGCATCTTTTAAAAGACCTTATTTATTTCCTTATTTGTAGATTAAGGACACAAAACAGTAGGACATGAAGTCATTTAGTCAACTGCTTCCAAGAAAACTGAATTCTCTGACTTTGATGGTGGCAAATTTCCCAATGAATTCTTGCATTTTCTGCATTACTGGAGGATGGAACGAGGGGTATGGTAACAACAAAAATATGTCCTATACAGTCAACTCCCTCTAAGACAGACACCTTTGGGACCGGCAGTAAGTGTCCGTCTTAGAGAGATGTCCGTCTTATAGCAAGTCAAATAAAGGGAGTAAAGAAAGGCAGGGACCAACTCTAGGTGTCCGTTTTAGGGAGGTGTCCGTCTTATAGAGGTGTCCGTTAAGAGAGAGTCGACTGTAACTGAATCCTCCATAACCAACAAAACGATTTAAGAACAAGTCTTTTTAATTCGGTTTGGTTTCACAAGATATATCAGTGCATAGTGGCAACAACCAACCAGAAAAAGATAAAGAGTACGATAAATCCAATAAAACCAGACTGAAGCAAATTCATAGGCACTGTAACATCTAAAAAGAGGTGAAAGGAAAATGGGCTTGGACTAAGTATTTTTAATTACACGAAATTCAAATACTCTGAGACATGGTGGAAAAAACGTTTTTAATACTATTATGGTTATAGTAGTGACTAAAATGATTCTGAGACTCATTTTGGAAAGTAAAATTTTGAAGTGGAAGGTATTTTTGAAATATTCTTTCCTAAATGGACAGTTAGTGTTAAACCCCAGGATCAAGGATGTCTACTTTCAAGTTTTCATTAATTGGCAAAATCTGGGATGGTTTTCAAACAAGAAAATCTCTGCTTTTCTTGGATTTTCTCAAATAAATTCAAGCTATTGTAATAAAACAGCTTCATCTGAGTATTTTGCACATGGTACCTGTGTCATTTTTGTGCTTATAGCCAGTAAGCTACTATGTCAGCTTCTCTGTTAGGGTGTCAGCATATCCAAATGTCCTTCGTAAGGTCATTTCTATTATCAAAGTATAAATTCTCATTTGTTGCCCTTATACATTTCCTATACAAGTAGTGAGGATGTGGTGATTCTTCTTAAGGCTTTTTGAAAAAATTGAATAGGATATTAAGCTATTTTAAAAACGTTGGGTGTTTGCGTTCGTGAGAAATGACCTTTTAAGTATCATATGACGGAAAATGTACTTTCTTTTGACTACGATCGATAATAATTGAATTGGTTTAGCCAGATAAACTTCTTTGCTATTTCCATCCATTTATTTTTGCTTGCTGTCTTGTTTGAGTTTTAGTAGCGATGAATATTTTTGAATTGCTGGTGCTATAAAATATTGAAAATCGCACGTGGGAAATTGCAAATACGAAACTGTCACTTTTAATATGTAAACATTCAACAATTTAAATGTCACATATTTGCATAAATTTGAAACACTTCATTTTTAACATTTCATCTTATCATGGTAGTTCTGTTATGACATTTGCATGCTTAACCTTGGCAAGAAGTTTCCTGCTCTAGTTCCTGGACCACATCTCTAAAAGTTTAAAACTTTACCTGTGGCCACCAAACCAGACTCGTATCATGTTTTTGAAAAAGTATGTGCTGGAAGTCGCTACACAGGGTGAATGTTGTTTTGCCAGCATGTGGTTTCTGATGGACTTTCGGTTCATTGCCACTTGTCAAGGTGTGTCAGGCCATGGTACAGTATCTATCTTGTTCATATGTTTTCCACCGATAAATACGGCAAACATAAGATGTGGGCTCTTTTTTTATTATCGAAATACTATGTTAATGCATAGAATGTAGCCAATAAAAATCAAAGGTCAAACTATTAAACAATTTTAATTTTTCCTTTGGAAAAAAAAAGTCCTCATTAGAAATCATCGGAGCAGCGTTTCCAGGTTCTATATCCTGCATCAACCATATTTTTTTCTGACGTATTGAATAAAGAATACCTTTTTTTCTTTTTTTGCATGGTTCAAGTACAGACTATTCTTTGCCAGTAAGCATTTGTCCCATTAGAGGACTATTTTTTCATTATGTTCCAAAAGTAAAATAATATTTTATTGAAGTATTACTTGGCCAGGCAATGAGCGTCTCCATAACTGTAAGAGCTGCGATGGCTAAAACTCTGATCCCTACTCCCCAGCAGCTCTAACCATCGTCGAGGGCTGGAAATCACACAAAGAACAGCAAGTGGCCCTCCAGATTGGGGGTTAAGTGGGGCCAATCACCCACCATGGCTCGAAAGAAGTCCCATCAAGATGAAAGGAAATTCAAGACGAACTACCATTAATTTTTTTGGCGCTGCTTTGCAGATGTAACACGTTACTAACCGAGGTTAACAACTGCACACTTAGTGGAGGTGGGTGCCCGGGATGTCCAGGGGCTTCCACCTTTGACACAGCCAACCCCTAGACAGAGTTATGCCCCCATGACTGGCAAACCCGCACACTTCAGCCATGAGCCCCCACCCCAATGGAACCAGGCACATGCCGCACTGATTTATCAGTGGAAGAATATGAAGGGATGGGAGTAAACGAATGATCCAAAGACTAAACCAAGAGAGTGGCCGCCAGGAAGTGAGCACATGGAGGCGATGCAAGCAAGGCTGACCACGCTTGAGCCAAAAAACTGACCACTGACCACACCCACACTCCTTGTTGTTAATTGTGTTAAGTAAACAATTTTATTCAACTTCATTTAAATTACGTTTGTGACGTAGGCTTCAGTAGTACCTTGCCTAGGCAAGAAAAACATGACACCCTTAGGCCAAAGCAAAAACGACAAGATGAAGGACAGCAGAAAGAGCTGGAATGAGGAATATACGCTAAACTGGCCAAAAGAGATGATTATCAGTGCGAGACCATTTTGGTTGCCATGCTAGTAGAGACAATTTTGATAAGTAAAATCACAGCAGAGGACACCATAAATACAGCACCTGTGTTCGGTGGTCATGGGCTGAGCCATAAGCTAAGCTAAAGTGAGATAAACATTTGCAGGAAATATTATTTGCCCTCCATTATCTTTGTAATAATAACAATGAGTTATTGTATTGTTTCTTTTATCCTAATTTGTCGGGGTATGAAACCTTGAGATGTCAATGTGCCTTCCAAATGATATTTCAAGAAGTGCCCTTTTTTCCTGACCGCCAATATTTGTAACTGGCAACCAATTTGTTTTAGGTTGCCAAAAGGCAACTTTGAAAAAGGTTGAACTTGGAGCACTGAATTAGACAGTGTGAAATTGCAGCTTTCATGACTATTAGGGGAACGTTGCTTTAAAGAGAAAAAACCAACTGCTTGCACAAGGAGAGTGGCGAGTCTGTGGACAACATGACGATTATATATGCCAGATGTAGAATGTAGAAAAAAAATCATTGACCCTTTTTACTTATTTCTGTATTATTCTCATTTGAATCTAAGGGTACATTGGCTAAAATCCAAAAAATTACTAAAAAAACATCCTGTCTGTGATGTTCATTTTTTCTGGCTAAAAGATGCATCCAGAGATGAACAGTATTTGCACTTTTTCATTTTTTGTTGTTGAATACGGCATTATTCCTTTCGTTGTATTTAACACAACATTTTGCTTGCGCATTTACTTGTTTTCCTCTATATAGCGACCGTTCCTTAAAAGTAACATAAGTCAAACTCGCACCTTGCATAATATCAAAAGCTCTGAGTTAAGACTAAAGGTAGTTTACCAACCTGAAAACTTTCTTTTTGAACACTTTGAACAAAGCTTGAAGGTATGGTGGGTTTTGGTACTGCCTCTCCATTAACTTGACTCTGTAAACAAAAAAAGGTATATATACAGTCAACTAGGCTGCAAAGTAAGATAACAAGGTACATACTTTTCTGAGGATCTGTAGGGGTTTGTTAATCTGGTTATCCTGCCTACTATAGCAAAGAGAGGTGACGACGTCACAAAAACTAAATTTTTGAATTAGACAGATTATTTAGCATATTAAGAAAGCAGATGAAAAATGCCCCTTTGCCAAAAATCAGCCTGTTGTTGCAAATTGGTGAGGAGATACTGCAAAGTTTTGCTCCAACAACTCCATATCTGTCCCTCTAAAATAGGCCTGGATCATAAACGTTACAATTCAAGCCAATTTTAAAAGGATTTGATCGGAGACATCAGAGCAAACTCAGGTGCCTATGTTGTGGTTCAACTTTATCCTTGGTTCAAATTTTCCTTTCTTTTGTTTTTGGGTATGATAATGTATGATAATAACATGATAATTAGTTTGAAACAAAAGAAAAGAAAATTTGAACCAAGGATAAAATAGAACTACAACACCTATACCTACCCACCAATTTGCACTAACAAGCTGATTTTGGGCTGGGTTTTTTTTTCATCTTGTTCTTTCTGGATCATTAACATTACGATCCAAGCCAATTTTAGAAAGATTTGAATGGAGACATCAGAGCAAACTCGTGCCTACACCTACCCACCAATTTGCACAGTCTAACAAGCTGATTTTTGACAAGGGTTTTTTTTCATCTTGTTCTTTCTGAATATGCTACCCAATCCCACATTTTTAATGTTTTTGCAATATTTTTTTTAATGTTTCTGATGTCACACATCTCTCCTCTGTTGTAAAATATTTTGACAGAGCTGCTAATCTGCTAATTACAGAGGTGCCATAACTTGCCAGGCCTGGAAAATGAAATTCTTAAATCCCATGAGTTTCTAGATTTTCCATGAACTGTATGAACCCCAGTCAACTGACTATGTTAGCATGTCTGTCTAAATTTGAGACTCAGTATTTGGTCAAAAGGACAATCAAATTAATAATATTGCAATGAGGTCAAGACAATCACTGGAGATGTACACAGCATTTTGGCAAACTGTTGAGAATGTTAAAAAAACCTTGAAAAAAAACAGAAATTTACAAACACTTTCATGTGCCTTTGAACAGTAACTGACTGGAGCAAATCTTCAGAAGATTTTCAGTGGTACCAAAGGTATAGAGGCATTAAATAAATTAGTTATGCAATACTTTCATGAGTCACGCCAACAATATCCTAGTAGAGGAGTCATTTTCCTTGGAGTAAATATTTGCCTAAATCCTCATTAGTAAAGTGAGAAAAACCAAAGACACTTTTGAGATAATCCACTGTATGTTTTACCTTAATGTTACAGAGCTTCAGAATAAAATGGCAAAGAAAAAAATAGTTGCAACATACCATAATAAAATTAAATTTTTCACCCATGAAGTGTGGCACTTATCTGAGTGCAGCGTTTATTTAAAAGTTGGACGCGACAAAAAGAAAAAGGTTAGAAATACCCCATTACTATTTTCTGTATTAAAATAACAGAATTAACGTCTTTTGATTTTGATTATATCTGGGCCACAGCACTTATTTGGGAGTTGCACTTATTAACTCTTTTCTCCCAAATGCAGCGCTTATGCAAGGGCGGTGTTTAATTGAGTAAATACGGTACTTTGCTGTGCTAAAACTGGAAATATTTCTGTTTAAAAGTATGTTTTGAAATATCCAATGACTGGTTTAATTTTTCATGGTTAAAATATTACCCAAACTTGTGTGTACACAAAAGCACCGACCACAAGCATCCACTCAACAGAATTTTTGTTTTCAATTTCAAAAAAAATTGTGGTCACTCATAAATTTTTTAATCTTTTTCACAAATCCACAAATATCCATTTTGGTCTGAAAACAGGTACAACTTTTTAAATAATAGCCCTCAGTCATTCTGAGATTCTCCCTCTCTGAAATCAATGTTGTAACAAGGTTGTTGCGACAAGTACTTTGATAAAATGGTTTTCCTTAGACTCTTCGAGTTCTTGCTTACGGAGCTCTGTTGATTTGTTTAATAAGGCTTTGATTTTCGAGACCGGTCATAATAATATAGTGCAATTTCCATATGCATGGTCAATTGCGCTTCATGTAAATTCTTAAGAAATATAGCGATACATAAAACTAAGAGCCTAGGCATAGTAAAAGTAGCCCTACTGATTAAGTCATATTTTGAAATATCTTTACCTAAAAGTTAAAATTAACTAATGATAAATGTTCAAAGACAAAAAAGGCAAGGTACTAGTGAAACATTCTTATCTCGTGCAACATCAGCTACCGTGACACAATCAATTTAGAAAATTTCCGTTCTTAACCCTCCAATTGAGTATGGGAAAAACAGCACTTTCAAAAATTTCCACTCTTGATAGTGCTTTTGAAAAGATGAGGATTTGGTGAATGTTCCCGTCAGATAGGTGCAGGCAGAAAGCCAATCCACAAAGGAAAAATATAGTTTTCCAAAATAATCACGGATACATTGGGATGGGGCTACAAAGTCACATTTGTAATATCTCAAGTACTATCCAACCTTAACAGAAAACGGTTAAAGATATTGAAATTTTTTGCCATACAAAACATTGAACATCATTTGTGTTAAAAAAGTAAAAAACTTTTTAAAGCTTTATGCATTTTAGCTTTCAGTCTGAATCCTTTTTAATTTTTGTGTTTGTATTTGTGAAAAAGGTGTATGCAATTTCCGTACACAATGACAATCTGTCTTTTACCAAAACAAAACAGTGCATTAACAAGGAAATTTGCAAAAACATTTGTCCAACAAAAAACACTTAATGCAGAAAAAGTTTACGACTGTTTGTGAGATAAGCAAATTAAATTTTTCAATTTTTTTTATAGGGAAATAATAAATGATTCCGTCTCAGTGGTCAGTCTAAATCTTCACAGGTATATTAGAGAAGTCGTTGTATGCAATTACCACCTTTGATAAACCTGTGTGAATTTCGGGGCCAGCTGATAAAATTAGTTTCTGATAACCCGAATGAATGAACAATTTCGTACACAAAGAAGACAGTTTTTAAAATCCCCAAAACCTTATAAAGTCATAATATAAACCTTCAACTCTAGGCCAATATTTGCGATCTAGAAACACGCGAAGTGATCAATGGCTTCTACAAATACCTCATAGGAAATATTTCATACACAAGAAGTGATGACAACCGACTGAAAAAGCGATTACTTGCTGTAAACTAATTACGAAATAACCTTCAAAAAATTAATGATAAGAAGTTCATAATTTTAGCCAAAACTCTGCCTCCAGATTTCTTTTACTATCGGGGAAATATGACCGTGGTCCGTATTAAAGAGGTTTAAAAACATGAACAAAGTCATTCACCTTATCAAAGTCTGCGTAGCTCGGCGGGTATTGGGCCGGCGAATTATTTTCCCACCTCTGCACGGCTTCTTCGGTCTCCTCAGCCTTCTGTTCGGGTGTTTTTGAATCATCCAACAACGTTGTTTCGTAAAACTCTTGAATATCTGAATTTTAATGACAGCGTAGAATTGTTATGGCTCACAACAAAACAGCGAGGAGCCCACCAAAAGTATTGCAAACGCGTATTAGACAGTTTCTTGTCTGGTAGCTTAATCCACTATTTGAGATTACACAGTTACCTTGGAATTATAATCGAGGGCAAGTCTAACTTTTTCTTCTTTGAAAGATATTAAAAAATAAATCTCAGTAAATGTGGGTCAAGGAAATACCAGGCTTACCTAACAGAGCCAAGAATAGATGACTTTGAAAGATTCGAATAACTCTTTCTATGGCTGTACGTAGAGCACGGTCCTGCGGTTTATTTAACTTTTCATAGTACTGCTCCAGAAGCTCCAGAGCTCTCCCGGCATCTACAATAATCATAATTGAATTTCATTAGAGCAATCACAGATAAACAGTTATGTTTTTGAGTCTTGTATGGCACAGTCTGCAACTCACACATAGAGCCAACTTTGGCAGGGAAAGAGCACATACCTTCCTTGCGAACGGGCATAGTTCGCCGCTTTCTATCCCTTAGATGCACCAAGCAAAAGAAAGAAAGCAATATGAAAAGCTTCTTTTGTTGTCTCGAAAAACACACTAAAATACCCCGTACTAGTAAAATCGGAAGGCCGAATTAGACTCAAACCGTTTGCCACAACGATAGAATCAACATGAACGCCTTTTCCGTGCCAGCGGCCGCTGAGTGAGTCACGTGCCCGTAATGGACCAATCATGCGTAGGACAAAGGAATAGGTTGCTCAAGTTGCGTTTTGAATAAGCGCTCGATTGATGCATGTCACAAATCTATTTCTTGGCCGTAAACTAGCCTACGAGAAAGCTCTACGGGGCGCTCTGGCGGCGGTGAGGGAAAACGAAGTAGTTCCCTCAAACAATACCCGATTCCAACCCAAAATGAGCGAAGTCAAAACCGTTTTCAGACAACCATATACCCTTAGGCGATAGGGGCGGCACATACTTATCATGGCTTATGTAAGGGAGTACCCCCCAGGATCCCATTGAACACCCCAGAACTGTTTCTGAAATGTCCATAGCCTGGTTTTCAGACGATTACTTTGAGTCGTTTTAACACCCTAGTTGCTCAGAGGAGAAAACAACTCGAAGTAATCGTCTGAAATTCAGGCTAGAATTTCCAGTCCCTTTTCATTTCCGGTTTCCATCCTCGTTATGATTGGTAAGTCCATTGAATTTCGTGACACCAAAATAAAAGTTCGAAATATGACTGTATTACGACACAAGGGACGCAGTCCAACTGATTTTGTACGAAATGACAGCTTTGAGACAAGCAAATTATTTTTCGACCATAGTTTTCAAAACCCCAATTGCAATTCGTGTTAATCTTCAATTTTGCCCATCTTTGAGTTCTATTCTTATGGCTAATTTTCGTGACACAGCTCCATGGGGATTAAAATAGCGCGAATTATTTGTAAATCTTATGCTAATTTGTCCGGAAATTTGTGACTGCATTATCGGAGTAATCCTCTAAAACCCTTTCATCGTAATATTCCACTCAATCCCATTATGTTCATCATGTTTATGTTGGCCGGGACTTATCATGAAAACTCGAGTAGGGGATCGCCAGTCAGTACAAAAGCAACCACCTTTCCACTGGTCACTAATGACCGTCACTGTTCCTTCAGGATACTCCTTTACTTGTTTCAGTTGTTCTTTCATCGATTCCTACATCATACCTACCTCAAAGAGGAACCTCCTTTCGTTAGAACCCGGAGCCACCACTGGTAGCCCGGTACAGGATGTAGGTAGTAGAACAAAACATAAAATTACAGGTGGTAGTTTTAAGCATCATATTGTTACCTGCTCTTACTGTGTTGGTAACAGTGGATAAGGTATTCGAACAGCTACTCGCAGGACAACTCGAACCTCTATTTAACAATGTCTTTGTCGGCTTGAATTCAGCATACCGTAAACGATATAGTGGCGAAACTACGTTAGTGCGTCTGGTAGAAGACTGGAAGAGGTCTCCTGACAACAACCACACAGTTGGGGTATTATCTGCTGACATGAGCAAAGCTTTTGATTGCTTATCCCCTGGCCTAACCTGCTGCTTTCAAAGTTCCAAGCTTATGGTCTATGTAGGTTAGGTAGCGACTCCTTGGCTCTTCTAAAGTTCTATTTTACCAACAGGGAAAACAAAGTGCGACTAGCTACAGGCGACACCTGTGGAGAATGGAAAGCTCAAACTCGGATGCCCCAAGGGGTCATCACTTAGCCCAGTGTTGTGGAATTTTTATCAAAATGATCTGTTTTATGAAAACGTTCTTTCTCAACTGAGTGCTTACGCTGACGACCACCAAATATATATTACGGGTGAGAAGATTGGCAACGTCGTCAGCAGTCTTGAGGAGGACGGGAATACAACTGGTCGCTGGTATAAATCCAACTACCTCTCGGCCGTAATCCATTACCCTGGGTGCCAGAGACTTTTCTAGCGCGGTTTCCGGTTTCTGTCAAGTCTTTATAGTGACCCGAAGATGTGTCGGCCTTCGGCCAACACCGAAAATTCCGACCGCACGCGAGAAAAACCTCTGATACCCAGCGTAGTAATCCATCGAAATATCAAGTACTGGTTATATCAGGAGCCAAGCACGAAGTTAAGAAAGTGGTGCACATCGATGGCCACACAATTCGGCAGGCTCAAGAGATTAAACTACTGGGGATGATGCAAAGTAGCATAGTCTCCCTAGCACCCGTTTTTTGGATGTCACGCAACGTTCCCCCAAAAGAACGGCTGCGTGACATCCAAAAAACGGCTGCGAGGGAGACTAGCAAAGCAGGCGTGTTTTGCAGGGCGTTGAACAGACAGAGAGTTGGGACGAGTCAAAAAGTAATTCCCAGGGAGAGGTTGACGAGCCAAAGTAGGGGAAGGAGGCTAAGAAAAAAAGCAAACAAAGAAAATCAACCCATTTTTTTTTTCAGCCCCGATTCAGTCTTTATACCGGAGGTAGAACAGGCAGCTTCTAACAGCTGCAAGGATTTGATGCTTCCGAAAAAGAAAAGAAAAGAAAAAACATCAAGCAAACGGAACGTGCTCGAACAAGCACAAAAACATAGTAGAAATAAAGTACACAAAAATTGTAAAAATTGAAAAATAAAAATGCCAATGAACTGTATCATATCAATGCATTATCAAAAGGCCTCGGCGGAAACTCCTGGAACATGGACCTCTAATAACTCAGTCAACTCGAACTCCACGCCAAGTCTTTGCCTTTCGGTCAATACTCAGTAAATTACAACCTGCTCACTTAAAAATTTCGCTAAGCCAAACTGTTTCTTATTTTCCTTGGGAGTTCTACTGATGTACTCTCTACCGAGCACACCAAGGACTGTACAACAAAACAGTGACTCAATCAGTTTTACAGTAACTTTAATAGACCATATTATTTATTGAAGGAAAAATGGTGTTTAACACGAAAAAAACAGAACTACAGAAATCTTGGCGCTTGATATGATTAAACTGGTTTGTAATCTAGTTTGGACTCGAGCTTCTTGTTGTCAGAGACTTTGCGTGCCGCTTTCATGAAATCCTCCTCAATTACGTAGTCTCTCTCTGCCCGAATGGCAAACATTCCTGGAAAAAAGGAGAAAACCATAAATGGTCAAACTCAGGAGTTTCCGCACAATAGGGGGGAGGGGGGGGGGAAGTTAATGCTCTTACACTAGAAATAATAGGCAGATGTAGCAAAGGCGACAAAACGTCAACTGAGAACGCGAAAGCGCGCGAAAATGGCTGAACGCGACTGTCCCCACTTCTGGTGCTCAAAGTGCCGCTCTGTGATTGGTCAAATTGGTGTTCTTAACTGTTTTTTTGCTAAACCTGTCTAAAGCTACGGTAAAACGGGCAACAAAACGCGCAGCTGGTTTTGCACATTGCTGCAGTACGTGTTGAAAAGCGATGTTGCGCGTTTTACCACCCACGTCCAAACCTGTCTTCCAACAAATAAAGGTTGCTGCAGGTTACCTCAAGAGTAGCAATATGGCTGCAGAGTCGCTGTCTTATCACGCTTATTACTCTTGACGTTTTTTTAATGAACGTCAAATAGACATATTCACATTCTTTTAATGGTAGTAATACTGAGTGCACTACAGTTTGTCTCTAATCGTACCAGTGATACAAAAAAATCAGACGACGCCTGAAAGAACGGAAATTCACTTTTTAAGCGACGTTTTCGTTGCCGTCGCGTCCTTGGATCTATTTTTATTTCTTGAGATGCAACACGGTCTAACGAAACAAAGGACGTTGGCGAGAAATTTAGTGCAATGGGAATGTTTCCACACAAACCTGCTTCAGTACAAACATTTCTCAAGTCAGCGCCGTTGAATCCGTCGGAGAGTTTAACTACAGCCTCATAGTCTGCAAGAGAGAGAGGAAAAAAACGCCTTTGCAGAACTTGAAAACACTTACAGAAAGTTGGCAGTTGGGATAGTTCATAAAACCTAAGCATTGGGAAAAGCAACGTGAAAATCCCTTCATGAATGTTTTCTTAGGCTGTCACTTTTTCTTTCGAATTTCTTAGTACCTACGCGCTCTGTGTTTCGCTTACCCTACCATGAACTCCAAAAAAAGGTACTACTTTTAATCTTGTATATCCCTGAAATGTAAACAATATGCACTTCGTCGCCGACTATGGAGCTACTTCAGGCGTTATTTACATTAGAAGCTTCTCAAACTGTTGTAGATATTCTTCCTTTAGCTGAGGAGATTAAGAACTGTTTGTTGTTTTCGTTGTGTTTTCAGCCATTATTTGAGCTTTGAAAATGGCAGAGTGATTTCTTTGACAAGCGATTCAAAACGGCGGCATTTGGATTGGCTGCTCATATCGTATGACCGTTTGATCCTCTCATTCCATTGCTTTATTATATATTTAAGCCCGCCAAATTCTTCACCTTAAGGCTGGTTTTCACTAGCGACGGAGTCGGAGTCGTAATCAGAAGGGTAGAACTTATGATCTAGTAAAAACAGCGTTCCGATTCCGCTTACGACTCCGTCGCTTACGTTCCGCTTATGATCTAGTGAAAACCAGATTATCGGAGTCGGAAGCAAAAGCGGAAGAACTAAACCAATCACAAAGCGTGGGAACGGGCACTATGATTAGTTTATCCTTCCGCTTCTGCTTCCGACTCAGACAATCTGGGTTTCACTAGAGCATAAGCGGAACGTAAGCGACGGAGTCGTAAGCGGAGTCGGAAGAAATGGGAAAGTTCTGATTCTTCTGACTACGATTCTGTCACGCTTATGACGCCGCTTACGACTCCGATTTTTTATTTTCACTAGGCCATAAGCGCTCTTATCTTACGACTCCGACTCTTACTCCGTCGCTAGTGAAAACCACGCTTTAGCCCGCAAAATGACCCGCAGTGCCCGACAAAGTGATAAGGGACTTGTCAGAAATTAGCAGGGGGGAGGGGGGGCGGAAACAGAGGGAGGGTCACAACTTTTTGAGACTCAGAAAAGGGAGGGGTCATGAAAAATGGGCCGTTTAAAAGGGGGAGGGTCATGCAAATATAGGCCCGTGATCGTGTAGAGGTTACCCTGGGTACCAGAGGTTTTTCTCGCGTGCGGCGGGAATTTTCGGTGTTGGCCGAAGGCCGACAAATCTTCGGCCGTAGGCCAAACCGCGCTAGAAAAGTCTCTGGCACCCAGGGTATGTAGAGGTTCACTTGCGGAAGAAAAAGGAAGTTCTTTATTTGGTGAAAAAAAAAAAGAAAAAAAATTTAAGAACAACGGAGCATTATGGATATAAACTGTGAAGTACTATTGCAAGAATTTAACAAACATCTACTTTTCATTTATTACACGGCAATGCTATAGAGTCTTATTGCATTTTTATTATGAATAATGTTGTTATTAATGTTATTAGAATTTTGGCTATCCTTTTCATCACTGTCTTCAGCGTCACCATCAATGCTGCTGTCATCATCATTTATGTCATCAGCATTGATACAATCACTTTCATCATCATCGTGATTTTCATTTAAGTTGAAGCGTAGATATTGCTGGATAATTTCCTGTATATTGGGTATATGGCCTTTGTGTTTTGAGGAGCCCACTTATTCCTTCATAATGAAGAGATAATGGGCCAATAGGCTCTGTCACATTATGCGACTCTTGCTGAGGTGCAATGGTTTCAATAACCTTTTCGCAGTTAGCTTCCATTCTTTTTGCCCTAGCTTTTTTTTGCTTTCCTTTTATATTGTTTTTGTTTCCTTTTTTTCTTGTTGGCTTGGAATGCTGCACCTTAAAGAGCCTGGAACATTTTTCTTTCAATTCTGTAAGGTGGGGAGGGTCATGATACTTTAGGCCAAGCTTAAGGGGAGGGTTTGCAAATTTCACTCCCATTGAAGGGATGGGTCACCTAATTTCCCCTCCCCGCCTGCTAATTTCTGACAAGTCCCTAATAATGAAACCTTTTACTATAAAACCCACGGGAAAGATGTGTAAATTTAAGAGGACTAAAGGATCAGGCGGCCTTTGATAAAAGACAGATGCTCCACCTACCGATATCACCGTGTTTTGTGATCTTGGCTGAGTGGATCTTAAGAATATCCATGCGAGCCTGTTCGTTAGGAAGTGGTATTTCTGGAAAAAAGAAATAAATGCCATCAATGCGATGAAGAAACGGCATAAGAAACGACATAATAAAAATCGTGTATCCTGTTCAAAAACCCACTTGTGATGATTAATTGGAGGGAAATTGAACGAATTGAGATAAGAACCGAGAATATATTCAACACAGCTGTAATTATCTTTGACAGTCAAGGCAGGTCAAGCATACCCCTCAAGATTAATTGAATTGATTATTTGAAAAATGCCGTGAATCCGTTACTCGTTCTTGTAACTGGTGTCGAATTCAATTCGGCATTCTGCATGCGTAATGAGCAGTGAATATGTTACGAGAACTTCTCTGTATTTGGACAGACTGAAAATCTTTGAATGGATGAAATTTCTTAAAAGACAATCACATCAAATTCAGGGAAACCGAGCTGGTAGAAGTTTCCTAACTGCCTCGCGTGTGAATTCACAGCTCACTACGCATGCAAGAATGCAGAGATGAATCTGAGCTACAAGTACCAACGGATTCAACTTTGGAATAATAAATTCCTTAATGGCATCTTTGGGGGTACGCCTGACCTGGCTTGACTGTAAGACAAGCAATATAAACAAGTGGGAAATAACAACGCTGAAAATCCAGAGACTTTTCATGCACGGTTTCCGGTTTCGGTGTCAGTCAAGTCTGTGTTATGACCCGCCCGAAAAGTAGGTTTTTTTTCTCCTGGCTTTTCGCTCGTGGCCTCGGCCCTCGGCTGAGGATATGAGGCCGAAACCGAAGTAACCCGACGCACGCAATGAAAAGGCTCCTGGTACTCCGGGTATGAAAAGAGAGTTTACCCAGTTTTACAAAACCACGTTCTTATACTGTTGACGGTGCAAAGAAGGCATTTAATGCAGACCATAAAATATAAACAAAGATATAAGGTAAACCCATCCAGAAACAGATCTGCAGGTCCACAGATTGTCCTGACTTCGGTCTAAGTTAATCTTTGTTTAAATAACCGGCCTCTAATGGCTAAAATGAGATACGAACTGCAGGCCTTTAAGAAAATTCACTACTCTCAAGTCCGAACTTCCCGGAAAAGGAGCGTGTTATAGTCTTACAGTGTTTCAAATTCCAGACATTTTCAATGACTTTATTCTCGATTGAGAGCCGTTAAAACATACTAGTTTCCAGAAGTCCCGTTGTAGCTACTCTCCCTGGCAGTCGTTTTTGTAACGTAACGCTCCTCCCCAACAAAGAGCGTTGCGTGACGAGACAGAAACGGCTGCGAGGGAGACTAGATAGCAGCAGCCCGATTCAAATTATTTCATGCAACGTCACTTCAACCAAGGTGCACTTACCTATCTTACGATCCAGACGACCTGGCCTGAGAAGGGCTGGGTCGAGAGTGTCGGGACGGTTTGTGGCCATGATTATTTTAACCTGTGAGGAGAGGGAAAGGGTGGACATTTTAACAAGAGCCTACGGCGTAACTCTATCCTATTATAACATCGGTGATGAGCTGACTTTTCGAACGACGACGAAGAAGAAGTTATAGAAATAAATAAATCGACAAATAGAGCCACTGCGTCGAAATGTTAACACAAAAAATATTTATTTATTATCATATTATCCACAATTTTTCTAGTTTGTCTCGCAGGCACCGCAAAGGGGATGGCAAAAGAGGAAATCATGTTCCCCATTGTAAGACAGATGTGTCCAAGTTTTCCTTTTTCCCAAGAACTGCTAGAGACTGGAATCAGCTCCTCCCCGATATCCCTCGTATTTCGTCCCTTGAAGAATTTCAGAACTACCTCAGATAATTTTTTATTATTATTCTCTTTATTGTTGCACGTAATTTTTACGTTCGTACTTTGCCAAGTGTTTAGTGAGATTTTTTCACCTCAAGGTATCCTATTATCTACATCTAAGTTGTTGGAACTAGACAAAGTAGAAAAATGGAAAACATCCTTTACCTGTCCTAAGGCATCAAAGCCATCCATTTGGTTCAGAAGCTAAAAAAAGACACAGTTGTTTTTAGATAGACCACTAGCAAAGGTTGAGTATTCTTAATGCACTATTCAAACTCCATAAGTCGATAACATCGTCTCTCTGCTGATCAAGTTTATCACTACACATAAATCCTAAGGTTACCTAATAGTAACCCTAAGAAACATCTTTTTTCTCACACACTGAATGCCATTTGTCTGCCACACAACAACGCAACGCAACAGCGCTTTGAACACAACCATCACAAAACAATTTACAACAAACAAAAGAAAAAATTGAAAAACCTCTGTGAACCTGATACACCGCTGCCAAACTAACTCACGGTTATATCCTCGATTTTTCGAACCCTTCAATAACTCAGCAGTAAATTGACTTCCTTTTCTTTTCCAAACACTGTAATTTTACCCCCGATTATTTAAACCTCCCAATAATTCAAAACAAAACTGAATTCCCTTTTCCATCCAATCACTGTAATTTTACCCCCGCTTTTTCGAACTTCCCTATATTTCAAAACAAAACTGACTTCCTTTCAGTCGCCAAACACTGCAATTTTACTCCTGATTTTTCAAACTTCTTGATAATACACTGGACCTAAATTCTTTTGCCCAGGAGGTTCGAAAAATCCGAACTTCAATGTATCGGTGGTAAATAAATCAGGGTGTTTATTAGGCATTGGAGATAGGAGAATTCTCCGTTAACTATGCAGAATTCGCCGGCAAATGTTCGGTAGCCTACGGCCATTTTCTATTCAGACGCGGAGACTTTTTCGAAATATTCTCCGGCAACGTTAAACCTTTCTCCTGCTACTAGAATTCTAAGTTTAAACCCTAGTGGCTTATAATCAAATTATTTATTACGAGGTCCAATCCTTGTGAACTACCAACCTCCATAAGTGTTCGCTGTATTTCTCTGTCAGCAGAAGTACCCTCCGAGAAACGACGCCCACCTACAAGAAAACAATAATGACGTAAAAAATTGTTTACAAATGCCTTATTTTTACTGCGGAAATGTAAAATTGTGCAATTCCAACAGATTATATTATATTATTTATATTACAGGTCTAAAATATTTAAGTGTCCACCATTAGTGCGTCACTTGTGGTGTGCTAGAAGTTTTCGGACACGTTAATAAAGTTATTGGTTGATAGATGGGCATATGGCTACAAGCTAAACAGTACGTCAATGTATAACTATCATGTCTGCATAATACTCTTTTCAGCACATTCCCTTCAGCCACCGAGAGGCTTTTGATATGCTGATGGGAAACCACATTGAGAAACCAGTTTCTTTTCTTCCATCTCCAAAGAGATGCTACCCAGTTAGCAAAGTTGGGGGTGTTTAGTGTTGCAGAAACCATTGTTGGTCATGTTATTATGTACTGGTTTAGGTATTGCTAAGTGTCTTTTCAATCTTTTTTAATACATAATTTATTGATCACACCCATCTGCAACAACAAGAAATCACCAAAGTTGTTAGCCTGCATAGCAGGCGTCGAAAGGGGGTAGGGGATAGGGAGGAAGGGAAAAAGGGAGGGGGATTGGGGAGAGAGAGCTTTCGCACTTTTCTCCTTCCCCCTTCCCCTCCCCTTTCGCGCCTGCCACACAGGCTACAAAGTTGTTAAGGTGCAAGACTGGTAAAGTGGTAGTGAAGTCCTCTAGCTTTGAAAGATACATTCTCTTTCACAGCAAGTGAAGTGTTTACTAAATGACACATACCGATAGCATCAATTTCATCCATAAAAATAATGCATGGCTCATGATCTCTCGCATAACCTGTGAAACAAAACAGATAAAACCGATCCATTCTTATTAGTCATATACGAAGCGCGGTAACTGTCTGTGTAACTTTTTTTAAGGTACCATTATCTTGCTATTCAAGATGATTCTAACTTTTAAGTCTGTGAATGAAATCTTGTTGTAAAGTTTGAGATTTTAAAGACAGCTAATAAGCATAAAAGATCTCTTTAGCTTTTATTTTTGGCCCTCCCAATACAGGGCTCGAAATTAAATTATCTTCAGGTTGCCTATTGGCGACCAACTGGAGAAATACAGTCACCAGATGCAAATTTTTACTCGCCAGTTTGTATGATGTAAATGACGCAGCTCATAGTATGGCGCGACCCATCAGATTTGACTGTTTGAAAACATAGCGAACAGAAGTCAGTATAAATTTGGAGGTAAACTGGTTTCGTTTATGCGATTTGACACATTTTTTTATAACGAAAGCAAAGCAAGATAAGATGGAATGTTTGTTTTAACTTTACTCTTTAAATTTAAATCTAAATCATAGAGAAATCTGGTCACCAAAGTGACGACTAAACCAGAACTTTTAGTCGCCAAGGAGAAAAAGTTAGTTGCATTGGCAACCGTATCAGTCGCAATTTCAAGCCCTACAATACAGATCAAGTGATGTCATTTTAGAGAACTGTTTCGTAGTTAATTTTTTGCAGTTCCATACAGATTTTGGACTAGCCTGTAAGCAAGTTCTACATTTGTGGCAAGCAAGGTTCTCAAGTGACTTCTTGTCCGCTGGCTAATTTTGGACAGATTCAAGATAAAAAGCAAATTCCCTCAAGAACATTAAATGACCTATAAACAAAACACACAAAGGTCTATATTACTACAGTGTAGTCAAGTACAAGCTCAATAACAAAGTGTCAGTATTTAATGAAAGTTCAACTACAGTTAAGGTGGACATGAATATTACTTACTGAGCATTTAAAAGAAAAAGTAAGTGGAGGCAGCGTGGCCGAGCAGTTAGAGCACTGGACTTGTAATCCCGAAGCCCGGGGTTCAAGTCCTGCCCTGACTGCTAGCTGGTCTCGGTAGTCCCGAGTTCAAATCCTTGGCCACGCTTGTAAATAGCCAACTGGGTCACCTCCTTCCAGTTGGGATTCTTAAACAAATTGAGTCAGTTATTTAAACAAAGTCTAACTTAGACCCCGGTGTTTGAAATCTTTGGACCTTCACATTTCTTTCTTAGTGGGTCATTTTAAAAAATTACCGGTAGTATTAATTTATAGTATATATTACTATTAAGTAACATTTACCAAACATCTCTCTTATAAGCCTTGCACTTTCACCAATATATTTATCTACAATTGCACTGGAGACCACCTACAGTTGACCAACATAAAAAGAAAATTAACATTATCCTTTAAGTCTGATTGTACATGTATAATTATATTTTTCTAAAGACCAAAAGATGAATGATGGCCTTTCTCTTGAAAAAGGGACACTGCAGGCAAGTACTACTGAGTTACCTGTTGGTGAAAATAATCAAGGAAGCATGAAAACGAAACAGGATGAAAGAAATTTTGAGCTCAAAGTGAAAAGAAAGATCATGAGTACTAATACGTTGAATGAGCCAACAGAGGAACACAGACTTATTACTCCCTGTTATTTCTCAATGCCAGTGGAAGGAAACAGAAGTTTCTAATCCATAGACCTACAATGGATGGACACGTATTTATAAATAAGACTGGGGCAGTGAGGCCTCTCTGTACAGAAAATATATTTTGCCTTGACATTAGAATTACCGGTACTCAGAAAAATTACCTTTAGAAAGTTTGCATCTAACTGGCTTGCAACAGCCCTTGCAAGTAATGTCTTCCCAGTTCCTGAGGAAGAAAGGCAGAAAAAATTATCCAATAAATTCATAAGTCTAACTTGTCAGTCTTAGAGACTTTCTTTATAGAGTACTAAAGTGATGACGTCATAAAAATGAAATTTCTGAAATTATGGGATTTGTCAGGATATTCTGAAAAAACAATGTCTAAGAGGCCTACTTGCCAAAAATGAGCATTTCATGGCAAATTGTCTCTGAGATCGTAGCCCAGTTATAAAAACAAACAATTTTTTTCTAATTTTTTTTGGGGTCGACCCAAAAAAAATTTAGAAGGGTTTGTATGGAGTTTTGTAAGCATAACTGGCCTACGATCTCACAGACAATTTGCCCTCAAATGTTCATTTTTGGCAAGTAGGCCTCTTCGACATTGTTCTTTCAGAATATCCTGACAAATCCCATAATTTCAGAAATTTCATTTTTATGACATCACACTTTAGTACTCTATTATGACCCAGGGAGAAGGATTGGAAAAATCCCTTCATATGTCTGCAAAACATTCCCTCACCTCCCTCTGTGGTAAATACAAAACTTACACTCCACCTCTTGAGTTCATTCGTACCACATCCTGCATGTAACCTACAAAGAGGCTCCCAAGTAGAGTGGGGCAAAAAAGAGGCAAGGGAGCCTGCAGACTTTGTTTTGATGGAAAATTGCCAGTGGGTGGATGGCCGGACTCAAAACAAAGTCTGCAGGCTCCCCTGCCTTTTTTTCTCCCCCAGGCCATGCTCCGATCACTTCACTTGCCACTTTTCTTTTTTGCCCCACATGGGAGCCTTTTCACAGGCTAACCACATCCATCCCCACAGGGCATAAAAAAATACAGGGCATCTCGAAGAACCTACTCCCTGCCTGTTCAAATATGCAGTCCCTGGGTTAAAATACATTAAACCCCTTTATCAAAGCACGTACACAAATGTAAAATGAAGGGCCAAAAAGAAGGAGCTAATCAAAAACTTGGAAGCTTGTAATCACCTGGAGGCCCAAATAGGAGGCAACCTTTAGGAGGAGATATTCCCACTCTCTGGAACAGTTCAGGATTGGTCAATGGAAGTTCTATCACCTGCAAAAATATTGCACAAATGGTGTTACTTAAGACCTTCTCTTATGACCCTCTGTGGCTATAGGCCATTGTGATTCCTCCATACCATTTTTTTTTTCACTGCTCTTGCAAGTTTTAAGTTCTTAAAGGCAAGTTGCCAGACTCAAGTTCTAGCTTGAAAATCATGGAATGTACCTGGGATTGAAAAAAAACAAAGAAGTCCAGCTTGTCCAAAGGACAAGCAGCTCTCACATTTTGCGGATCATTATACGTTTCTGGGAAACTGCCTACATACCCCTCCCCTAAGCCAACATTAACACTTACTTCTCACTTAGGGCAAAATGTTGGCTTAAGGGAGGAGTAGGTGGGAAGTTTCCCAGAAACGTATAATGATCCCATTTTGCTTGCCCACTGCTACTGCTTGCTTGTCATAGCTAATGATTTAGTTACAAGATAACTTGTCTGGGTCCCTGCCCATCGGGAAATTTAGGATAAAAAGTTGTCCTGGGCGAACAGATCAACATTTTTTCAAGTCCTGGTACAGGTATACATTTTTGAAATTAGAGGGAAAAAAACTCAAAAACGGGGAAAAAAAATAGTAAAAACAAAGCACATAAATATTATCATATCTTCCCACAAGGCTCTTAAACTACAAAGGTACCTCTCGAAGCTCCCTGATCTGTTCGCTGAGTCCTCCGACTTCAGAGTACGAAATATTACCAGGATCTTCATGTGACATGTTGTACACAAGAGGGTCAACTTCTCGAGGAAGATACCTTGGCAAAATGATGAAGACAAAAATGATGTTTAGCTCAAAATAACCAATTCAAATAAATAGCTTTTTTTTCTTAAAAGAAAACTGTGATGCGATTTGTCTTTGGTTATTACTTACTTGAGGAAATTTGGCATTTTTTAGACAAGAAACCAACTGCATTACCTCATGATAGTAAGTGTTGTCATATCAAGGGCCACACGAGTTCCTTGTTTGAGCTTCTTTTTGTCAACCTGATAGGAACAACAAAAGGTATATGGCATACTGTACACCTGCTACTTAACCCATTTGTCAATGGAAATTGTCCTGAAAAACACATTTTAAAGCTAGTTGAACAGTTTTCTGATCACTGTCATGCTATGAAGAGCTAAAACTGACCACAAAGCCCTTTACATGTACAGTTCACACACTTTGCCCCTTCTGATCCAGATGCAAAATATTAGCTTGTGAAGTTCGGGTATGCGCAGAGAGCAAAATTTCAAGATAATTTTTGGGTTTTAAAAGTGATACAAGAGTTCAGATTTTTACTTTTTGCTTTCTCTCCTCACCTCTTTATTTTCTTGCCTCATTTTTTTTCTTTTGCTGGGCATTTAGTGGGTTTCATTTTGTCAGGAAAAGTTTTTAGGAAAGCTCTCAGGATCTTAGGATTAGATGAAAGCAAAGGTAGGTGGGTAGTGGAACAAGATTTTCATGGGAATTTTCAGGTCAATGTAACATGGTTTTTTGCCTTTTTCTATGGTGTCCTTGACTGAATTGTGCTCATTCTGGTATAGTTTGAAAGATCTCTTCACTCTGCACCAGTTAGCAGACAAAGTTGTCCTTGACCATTAAAACTGATGATGTCACAAGCGGTAAACGGGGAAGTGGATCGTCATGGGCGGTTATGGGCAGCTCAGGGGTGGATAGGTTAAAAGCCCCCCAGTTACGTCTATACAGGGCCATCTACCCGTAAACAAAAAAATAAATCCAATTATAAGACCCCCACCCTCCCCTCTCAGGATATTAGCCCCCTTTCAAATGTATTGAAATGAATTCAATTTATTAAGACATTTTGAAGCCTAATAAAACTTCAGTAAATACAAAACATATTTTGATGAGCACTCCTATAGTTTATTTTGAGGCGGTTTATCACCCTTCTTGGATATAAGCCCCTCCATTAAGGTATCTGCACCGGCAAATTTTCAACATTTTTTTTTGTCCTTAAAAGTTTACCACCATTGAGGTTTAGATATGTAATATGCATATCCTGTTTTCTTTTTTAAAATTTTCTTTGCATAAAAGAAAAAAACGCCTTGAAAGTTGCTGGATTTACCGGAAGTGGAGAGAGACATTCCCATTCCCGTTTCTAAGGAAAGTGACCACGGGAGATTGCAGCAGAGTAATTTGACTCCTATCCGGCAATTTTTCCATTCGTGCTTGCTTGCCACAGCAAAGATGGCTGCCGGTTTTCATCGTGAGGCTTCTCTTCTCATTTTAAATGCAGAATTTGAGCGCAACGGGTAGGTATATTTCATTCTGGTCTTCCCAATTTGACACAGTGCGCGGTTTTTAAACAGTTTCTGTAGCTTTCCTACCATTTTTATGTTTAGATTTGGACAAACACCCGAAGGCCTCGCCAACCTCATTCGCACAGCAGAAAAAAAGCCTGATGAAAATGTAGGAGGAGCCCAAGGCTTATAAGCAGCAGTTTACAGTATTCTTTGAATAACCTAAGTGTCATTGGGATGATGGAATCATTTAAGTTACTTCTTGCGAATAATTCTCAGTTTTCACTTGACGTCATGAGGTACATGTATTACAGCAGCTAAACACCTCTAATTGTACAAATTTTCGGTTCAAAAGGGTGTCTCGTTTTGCGATAGAGGATGCTTGAAATTCCAAGCTTTTGCGTGATGCAACATTTAGCTTGCGAAGGGGAAAACTTTTATGTGGGTTAAAAATCAGGGTTGTCATTAAGAGCCGAGGGCCGGGAATTTCCCCGGCTACCAAGAACGTGGCCCCCGGCTACTTTCATAGGAAAATAGAAGAAAAATAGAACCAAAAGAAATCCCTAGCTGTTTGATTCCCCGCCTACTTGTTGTATTTACCCGGCAACTTGAAATCTTAGTGACAGCCCTGAAAAATGCTACCAATTTCTACAGATTTCTATAGATTTTGCAATCTAAACATTCGTTGTCTCAGAATAAAATAATATTACTTTAATTTTTGTGAGTTCCTCAAGCAATGAATTCACACTTTTGTTCACAGATGTTTTGTTGGAAAGCCACCATATTTGCGCCCTTAAAGACAGATGTAAAACATTTTCGAATGTTGGTTTTATCACACAGACCTGATTCTTGGCGAGGCTTTTTGTATATTCATCTTCTTTCATTTCCCAGATACTGGACTTTCTGTATTTAATGGTTTGTATGTTGTAATTATTTTGATTGCGTGACAGTGAAAACTGAGAATAGGGTGCAAAGACACAAAAAACATAATGCACCTATCAGCAGAGTTAGGGCATGGGGTGGGGATTTGATTGTCTTTGTTGGCCCTGGGGGTAGGGCATATTTGAATCTTTCTTCGCCTGACGTGGAGATATTTGACTGCCGACTCAGACAAAAAAGACTGAGACCGAAAATATGTTTCCCACTTCCACGCTTCCACGCTTCACGCATGCGCCGTACGGTCTGGAAAGATCTGGAAATCATGGAGGCCCACGGGAACAAGCAAAAGCTGAGTGGATTTCACTGTTTTGTCTTCAAATTTCGTTTGTTTTAGCGTGTTTTTGATCAATTGAACCTCTTAAGATACTATGGTATCAAAGTAAATGGAAGTAAAGAGAAACAAAGTCGATTCTTGCAAGTACAATTGATCAGTGTATGGCTCATTCGCTACAATCACTGTATAAAGCATGTAAAACTGACTTTCCTTGTACCCTTAATTTACTTTCTCCTGAAAGGTTACTGTCTTCTACGCAGTGTAACACAGATTATGGTTAAAACGTATAATTGCAGCTGTAACAGGAACATGTATATTTGGTGATACAGCAATGTTTATAAATAAAGATTGCAGAGTTTTATTTCGAGATATTTTCATTGTGCCTTTCTTGGGTTATGTCTTGGGATATTTGATAGCAATGTGCAGCCCTGGGTGGGGAAATTTGGTTGCATTTGACTGGAATGATTTGCCGGTGGGTAGGGAATTCGACGGCAAATTTTTGAAAAATTTCAAATCCCCACCCCTGCGCTGCCTCCCCCCCTCCCAGCTTTACATTGATAGGTGCATAAGATGAGCAGCAAAATCTTGAGCTAAGTGCTAACCTGTTGGTTACAGAGCAGACATAAAGCTACATGTACTTAATATAGAAAGTACCTGTCTCCTACAACCCACTACATAACGTGGTCCATTGGTGGCCTTCACGATAACTAAAAAAGAAAGGTATACTCAATACCATGTACTATCAGCAAAAAAAACAATGCTTGAATCTTAATTTTGAAAATAAACAATACAGAGACATATAAAATGGATTATTAAACTGAACACTTACATTTCTCCTCAGTCAATTGCCGTAGAACCTCACCAACAATCTGTGAACAGAAGTTTCAAAGAAACAAACATCTTAGGGTACACAGCAAGCATTCGCTAATGAATTCAAGTAGCTAGTTTAGCTTTTTCACTAATGACTGTGGCCAAAGAGAAAATTCACAAAAAAAGTTCCAAATTCTATTTGGCAAAATCCTAAGAAATACATGATATTGTGCAAAAGTCCTACCAAAGGAGCTCATTTTGACCTCTTGATCTGGGGTGGGGTACACTAAAATAAACCACTAGGCCACCATGCAACCCTCCAAGTTGCGGCCATTTTGGTCACCATGGCATCTTAAATTTTGCAGTTGGCAACTTGGTTTGTAAAAAAGCCTCCCTAAACCAAAAGAGTTGGTTGCCAAATGGCAACTGAGCAAAAACTTTAACTTGCAGGGTTGCACCATGCCTTCTTTTACTAAAGCTCAATCAGAGGTGCATCCTAAAAATTGTGTCATCTGTGACCAGTACTTGCTATACAGAAAAATACCAAACACGTAACTTTGACAAAATAACTTGTAGTTGAGTCTCAATGGATTTAGCATAAAAGTACTAATTGAGGATGACCACCACTTTACGTGGTCACCTAAACCATAGGCCGCTTGCAGGGCAAAGGTAGAACCTTCATTTCTCAGTTGTATTTCAAGACCTTGAGTATTGGTCTGCCCCGGGGATCGAACCTGTAACTTCCCCCTCTGCGGTCAAGTGCTCTACCAACTAATCTAGCCCTGCCGCAGTCACACCATAAAAAAAATTAATAATCTAAGAGAAAAAATTTGATCTTCTTCCCCTCTGCGGAACAAGTGAATGATTTTTTTTTTCTCAGAGAGCAGCAAAAATAAGTTCTTGCAAAAAAAAAAAAAGCCCTCCAGAGTAAACAGGGTCACACCAGCAAAAAAAAAAATTAATAATCTAAGAGATTTTCGCGGGAGAAAAAAAAATTTGATCTTGAAGGATTTTTAGCCTTCAAATGCCATATGACCTGTGAACTTAAAATGAATACCATGTGGAATGAAATTTTTTTTCTCAGAGAGCAGCAAAAATAAGTTCTTGCAAAAAAAAAAAAGCTGCCAAAGTTTACTCCTGAGTAAATAATCTCTAACTTACGGTAAATTTGCTACACAAAAAAATTAATGAGAAAGAAATTGTGTCTGTTCAATTACAACTTGTCTGTTTTGTTCAGAAACAAAACAGTATACAACGAAATACTGGTTTCACATAGGGTACACCCCCCATAGTATTGTTTGAAAATATGTATTTCCATTGCACATATACCCAGAATACTATCAGTGATTTGTCACGGACTTTCTGAAAATCACCAAAATTAATTCCCAGCAAGAAAAACCGATCTGTCCTAATCACAAAAATTAGTTCTTGCAAAACACAAAAATCACCAATCTGCAAAAATAAATTCCCACAAAAATTTTGTGCCACACGGTACACATCTTGAATAATTACCTGGCCAACACTCTGTAAAGCTTTCAAGTCATTCTCAGATTTGTCATACTCTTTACTTAAATCTTTCAGTTTATCCCTCACTATGAAAAATAAAAAAAATGAAAATTCATAAGAAAGAACAATGCTTCCACAACTACAGTAAACTTACAGTATGTCATAACAACAATTTTGTTAATGTGGGGGTAAACACTGGTAAACGTAATTTATGTTAATGCTTTCGTGGGCCACAGTTTAAATAAGGATGTTTCTGGCTCACTGCATTATTCTTGAAGGATAATATTTTAAGTGGCTTGGTGGCGCAGCAGTTACCCAGCTGTACCAAAACCAGATAGCTTTTCGCACTGTGCAAAAAACTATCTGGTACAGCATGAACACTTATCTGATACACCAGGGTCTGGAAGAGGTGGGTGGGGATCACAAATCACAGGTTAAATTTCCATACATTCACGAATCATGTTACCTTTTGGAGTCATTTCACGAATCACGTGATTGGGTGACAAACTGATCAAGTCCATCAACTATTCTTAGTGATTTCGGGACTACTATAGGCAAGAGTTGGTCTTAAATGATCCCGTGATAGGAAGGAAACAAAAAGTATGGTGCAGATCAAACTGGCGATTCTCTGCTTTTCGTTTGATGACTAGAAAGCTGACTGGCAGTGAATTTTACATCTATAAAATCAAAGCTCTACAATTTTTCACTTTTACATGGTTTAACTTCAAACCCTCATCTCGACAATTACATCTGTTTTAACGATAGAAATCTCAATTCACAGACTACAATGTTGGAGGATCACATATCACGGTGAATACATAATTCATGAATCACGACTGTATTTCACAAGTTTTCTGATTCATACTCTGTTTACAGGTCAATAATAACAGATCATGCAAACCCCTTCCAGACCCTGACAAATGACTCAACACTTCAAAGATCAGCACGGCGTGGCATGGCTTCTTGTCATTACAGAAATCATGCCAAAATAGCCGTTCTTGTTTGTATGAAGAGAGGCCCTATCCAGTATGGTTCTCATGTCAGCACGTAGTGCGAACATAGCCTTAAACTTTTTTAAACTGACAAGTAAGCAAAACTGCTGGGATCAGGACTAGACTTTGTTTGACATCATTTTGATGTTTGTCCAAATCCATACAAGCACATATTATTTTTAAACTATGTATGCTCCTTAAATATCCTTAAGTCATTCAAAAACACAATCTTGGCAAAAGAAATAAATTGGGCTCATATCTAAGTTTCGATACCGTTTGTTTTGCAAAATTTGGCATGCTTTTATATCAATTGACTTTCGGAATTTACTTTTGCTTCAGTCAATCGGACTGGATGAAATAAAACTGTATAAAACATACTGTCTTTTAAGCGCGCATCCAGTTCCCTGTGTTCTAAAAGCTTCTTTCTGTAATTTACCAAAGCTTTCTCCCTCGCCGTCTCTGTAGTCGCCATCTTTGTTCCGTGAGTGACTAAGCATGTCCCAGAAGACAATGCGAGTTAACTTTTTTGCGTTCATCAGCTGATTTACGAAACGAGGGCTCAAACTCAAACTATTTGCATTTGGCATTTTGGAGGTAACCCGCTGACTGTTTGTTGTGTTTTGTTACATTTGCGCGTCATGCGTGTCTTTTGCGGTTCGCACCTTCGCGCGGGGTACAACAACAACGTAACCTAATTAGCATTATTCGTGGAGATCATGAACCTTGTAAGTGGAGTCTTTAGGGGCGTGAGCATACATTACAATTACAGACGCGAACAAATATCTGCAAAACATTGCTAAGGACACGTGAAATATGCCGCCCCTAACTGCGGACAGCAACAAGGAAGGATTCTGGGGCGAAGCAACTGCGACGATCGATTGGTGTGAGGAAAACTATGCCGTGTCATCATTCCTTGCTGAGTTTTGTAAGTGTTTATTGAATTGGTTCGGTGATCTAAAATACTAGCAGGTGTCGAATACCACTTTTGCAAAACCATTTCCAGAATTGAAGCGTGCACCTTTGCTGCGAAATCGAACGTTCGTGCAAAAAGGCAGGCCTATCGAATAATCGATCAACCGCGGATATAAAGATCTAGAAATTGGGTTTAAAGATCAGGATATTTTTAAACTTCTTCTGAAACTCCACAGGCTACTTTCTTTTCGCGAAAAAGTTGTCACTTGATTGACCATTCAAACTAAAATGTTGTTGGAGCTTTTGTAGAAGAACAACAATCTTTTATCATAATAACGAAAAACAACAGCCTCTTATATCACTCTATAAGATGCACCTGAGTGCTGAGTGACGTATTTTTACCAAAGGTATCTTCTCTGAGCTGTGAAAAAATACAACAACGGCAACGACAGAATAATTTGGAATGCGTCAACTGATATAACCTAAATTACGTCTACTAATAAGCATGTTCCTCCCCGTTCACTTCAATGTTACACTGGCTTTGTCACACAAAGTTGAATATAATAAAAAGGGCTATTGATCTTGAAAGTCAAATTTGGCTACTTGAAATCATTTACTTCCAAAAATTTAACAGTAGTTTGTAGATACAGTGGTAATGAAAGCCAGCAAGAATCAGAGATGACAACAACGCTGCTGCAGTTCATGTTGGGAGCTCTCCCACCTTGCACAATCTTTTGTCTTAGTTTGCAAATTTTTACTGAAAAAAATTAATGGGATGTTTCTATTGGTCAGTTTATACAAAATGATCAAAAGACTATTGTTTGTGATGGTCCACTCCAAAAAATGCTAACTGAAGATGTTATGATGGACTATAGCTCAACAGATGTTTTTTGTTTTTTTTTTTAATTAGACCTCTTTTTATCTTGTATCTTTTCTTTATCAAGTGTAAGGCCAGCTGTTAATTTGACACACACCCTTTATAAACAATAATTAACATTACATGAAGTTCGTTATTTACTCTAGAGAAATATTCCTTTTTATATTATGTTTTGGAAGGTCTTTTTTATCTTTGGTGAAAATTTTATTTTTCTCTGTTTTGAGTTATGGTAACTAATGATAATAAGTTTCAAACAAAGAAAAATAAAATTTGAACCACAACATGTATGTATAATTCATGAATAAATAATACAAAAGACAAATTCCCAGAGAACAGCACATGAGCTGAATGGGAGAAACAGGACAAGCAAGCTAAAATGTCTATTGCAATCACCACTTTGTTTGTTGTTGTTTCTTGAGTTATTGAATTTTGTATTGTGCATTTCTATGTTTGTTTTTATTGGCAGTTTCAGCAAAGTTTTGCAGTCGGGTTTGTGTAAAGTAAGATGTAGTACTTCGTAGCTCTCCCACTCATTTTATCCTGGGCAGGGGGGTGGGGGTTGGGCTACTCCCTCTAATTGAGTGTATAGGGTACCTTTACTGTTGAAAATGGCATAAAAAGGGAAGAAGATTGGTACCCTGGGGGGTGCTCAAGAAAGTTTTATTTTGGCATGGAAGCTCTGCCTACTGGTCCAACCCCTTACCCTTTTATATACCAGTTCTAACCAAAAAGTTCCCCCTTTCGTATACCCTCTGTTAACAAATGGTACCATTTTCTTGGCTCTTTTACAGCCAAAAAACACATCTGTTAACCCTTCTGGGCCTTTTTATAGACCTAAATGACAGATTTCCCTACCCTTTTATATACTTTGAAACTATGTGAAATCACTACCCTTTCATATACCTGAAGCCTGAAAAAAGGATCAACTCCTATTGGGTGTAGCCTCCCTGTATAGGCCGTTATTCGGGGTACCCTCCCTGGATTTTTAACTCTGGGCAGAGGCTACCCCTATAATAATTTATTGCTTTGTTCAGTGCCCCACAGGTACTTTATGAACTTTTCCCACAAAAATGATATGCCTGCAAACATCTGTGTCATAAGCTACATGTACCCTGGCTCTGTGAGGATGCATTATGTTTAATCTAAATTTTTTTTCCTGATTTTTTTTCCTTTTGTCTTTCTTCCTTCCTCCTTTCCTTCTTTCTTTATTTCTTTAGGGAACACAATTAGCAACTGGTTGTTTTTGTTACCTACATTATTTGGAGCATGGCTGTCATGGAAAACCAAATTGGAAAGACGCTACACCCTAACATTCATTTCATTGTTTGGTGAGCCAATTAAACTGAAATTTGTATTGAGAAAAAACTTTCAAGGTTGAAAATATATCAGTGTGCAGCATTTCCTTGAATAATCACTAAGGTTCTAAGAAGCTCGTTCCCCTAAATGCACACCCACCCTCTCAACCAAAAAGTGGCTGACCCCGGGGGGAGTGGGGGGAGGGTACTGCCATATATGCGCTTAATGTGCCACCCTAAAGGGTATGGTTTTCAAGCAGTTTACTCTGGGAAGTGATGAATAAATCAGAGAGTTTGTGTCTAGAATAGGGTATCATTTTCCAGGAAACTGATCAATTGGTTGAAGATTTTAGTCTAGACTAAGGAAACCAGGAATTGCCACTCAAAAGAATAAAAGAGATCTACTCTGAGATAGGGGGATGTGGGGAGTTTAGTCTAGTATAGCATCACAAAATTCAGCTGAACTAGCTTTGGTATAGGCTAAGGGTTCCAGTGTCTCTGCGGCACATCCCCACCCAAAACGGTGATGTGGCAGGTGTCAAAGTCCCTTTACTTCTCTCCCTTGATCTCCCACCCTTTGTGTCTTCCTTCCGATCCCCCACCCCTTTCGATGCGTACTGTAGAGGCTATTGTTGCAAACAAATTTCCTCGAGTGTTTATTCAATTTGCATATGTAGCTATAAATTGTTTATTGACAGATGTAAAAAAAGTAAGAAATACAGCTTTTTTGTTCTCAGTTTAAGACCACAAGATGTATTTTAACTAGACTGCATTTTTCAGACTGAGTAAATAGTTTTGGATGGCTGACCATGACACAGATTCACAAAGAGAGTGTTGAGGAGAAATGGAATTAGTAAAGTTGTCTCCTTTGTTGTTTTTGTTGTTTCTTCAGTTGTGGGAATAGGATCCCTTTGTTTCCATGCTACATTGCTGTATGAAATGCAGGTGAGATTTTGTTTAACAGCAAAGAGCTCCCTTATTAATGTAAGAAAATATGGGGGTGATGACCGACCATCAGCCTGCACCTCATGTAAAAACTGAAACCAGAATAAGCTCTGTCTTCAATTTGGGGCTCCATGCCCTTGTGTTTGCATTTTAATTTTTTTAGCTTAGTAATATAATCTTTACTTTCTGACCAATGCAATATTATTGGTTTCTTCATTGTAGCTTCTTGACGAACTTCCAATGATTTATTGTACTTGTATCATGATATTCTGCATGTAAGTAATTTTTATACCCTTTCTTGTGTCCCAAATTAATCATAGGTAAGATGATTTATGTACGGTCTTTTTTTTTTCATGTCTTGTTTTCAGCTGTCAGTGTTCTTATCACCCACGGCAACACAACACCACTCTCTTGTTGGTCCTTATCTTTTGTTGCTCTATGATTACTTTGGTAAGTAACCATACATGAGACATGTTAACCCTTTAAGCCCTGAGCATCAAATTTCTCCTTGTTATATCAATGCTTTGTAAAACAGAGTGATCATAAGAATTACGGACATGATCACACAAGATGAATTTGCTTGATATTTTATCAACTTCTCCCCACTACTTCGGTAGGAAATGAATAGAAGCAACAAAGGAGAATTCAAATTTTGATCTTAGGGTTTAAAGGGTTAATACTAGCTGTTGAGAACTGTTAACTAGCTTGATGACTAGGCAATTAACAATTAACAATAAAAATAATAAATGTATTATTATTGGTTGTTTGATCACTCATATTGGGTGATTCCAGAAAATATCCATACCCTACCACGGGTGGCATGAGTATTTTAACTCCCCCTTGCCCTCGGAAATTCCAAAATGCTTATCCCCCCCTTGCCCTCCGAATTCCAAAATCGCTAACCCCCCCTTCTCCTCCGGAATTTTCCACTTTTGTTTCAGACCCTTTGGAATTCCTGTTCGTCTGCCTATAAATCTTCAAACTAACGAGAAACTTGCACTTTTTCCCTCTGCAAAAGAATTAGCAATAAAAGAGGGTTGTAGGCCTACACGACTTTTACCTCATGCCAAAATGCTGCTTATTCCAATAAAGTTGTTTTTATCTGCTGGGTAGATTGTGCTCTGGAAGGTTCTGCATTTATACTGAGCAAATGTGATTTTAGCCACATGTTTCACACCGAGAGGTCATGACATACATATCAATTGACAGTAGTTATTGTTTTCTGGTCGGCAGGATTTGCCTTCTGATGCATTAAGCGCATTTTCTTAGACCTCTTTTGAAGCGTAAAGCTTTTTTATTACGGCTGAATAAGGGTTCCAATTTTCTCCAAAGTGCCTTCTGGATCTGAATAGCTAAGCGATTTTCTTTAGTCCGTGAGTGTAATGTTTTTCTGCAATGCTGTATCATGCTGGGCCCAGTTCGTCAGTTTTCTTTGCAGAATGTTAAATTATCACGGATAGTGACTTACAGATCCAATATTATAAGAGTGAACTGCAGCTTAAACTGAAGCTACATAAACTTACTATGGAGAATTGAATTGTGACTCAGTAAACTCCAGCTTAGTGTTTTTCTAAAGATAGTGTGAGTCTTTTGACTGGAGCACGTAGTTCCTCCCTTGGTTAGTTCCTCCCTTGCTACATGTTGGCGTGAAAATCGGCGTGAAATGCAAAATCTGTCAGGCGTTCTATTTGGAAACGAGAGACTGGTGCGAGTTTTCAGCACGCAACAACACATCGTCGATCGACAATCGGCGAGAAACACCGACTTGGTTATATTTTTATTAATCAGTTGACTAATTCATCAACTTTAAGGCCTCTTCGATGTGGAGCTTGCTGTACAACCCATCTGCTTACCCATCTGCATGAACGCATACTTCTTCCGTGGTCGGTTCGTGCTTCATTTACAAACTGGGAATGTTAACAGGTCAGCGATTTCAAGCGGAGCTTTCGCCGTCTTTCCTCCGGAAATTCACTGAATTCAGAGCTGAAACACCCCCCCATGCCTTTGGAATTCCAAACTGCGTTACCCCCCCACATCTTCGGAATTCCAGTCCAAGAAACCCCCCCTCTCCCTCGGAATTCCAAGATGCCGCCCGTGGTATGGTATGGATATTTTCTGGAATCACCCATTGACTGTTTTGTTTTGTGAATTTGAGTATGTGTGATCTGTTGTGTGGGTAAGTTCAATGGTTGGTATTGATTGATTGGTCCTTTCATTGGACTGATTGATCATCTTTCCCTGATTGTAACTGCAATTAAACAACTGGTTGAAATAGACTGATAATTTTTATGATATGACTAATTGGAGAATGGTTGAGTTACTTTTTTTAATGCTTATTCGATTTCTTCTTTGATCAATTTTTTTGACTGAAATTCTCTAAATTGAAGTTTGCTATTTCTTTGCTTTAGTGATTCATTTATTGATCAAAGAAGACTAATTTTCATATAATGCTTGATTGTTTTTTATTGCTTTCTTGATTCTTTTGTAGCAGTTGTAATTGGCTAATAATGTTAATCTGCTCTTTTTGCAGGTGTATTTAACAATAACAAATCCCCTTGTATTCCAGGTATAGGGCAAAATTAATGTCGATATTGATTCTATATTGAAATTTATAAAAATCAAGATAATTAAAGTGATGCAATCATTTAATTTCTTGTGCACTGTTAAGACCATCAGTCTGCACTAATTTAGCTAACAATGGTGCCATGATGTCTGTCTTCTTTCAGTGGGCGTATGGAATTCTTGTTGCAGCTCTGGTTGTTGTTGCTCTAATTTCTTGCAGGTAAGGGCAGACATTCTTTGAGCACAAAAATTAATTTCTGTAAAGATGTATAATCTGTTTTACTACTGGATTCTCTTTTACTAATGATCTGAGGAACAAAATGGTATATTTCCCAGGGGAGACTTCCATTTCAAAAGGGAAGTATGCTCATCTGAAAATTGGCCCAGGATTATATCCCAAAAGCAGACCAGTTAGGTACAGTTCTAGCCCCAGTTCAAGGAATTCACCACCTTCCCCTCCCTGGGGATATTTTCAGGCTGTGCCTCACACTTTTATTTTGTAAACACATTGCAGGATGAAAAGAATTGTCACCAGAGGCCGGGGATGGTTTTTTTTCTATAAAAATGTGAATTGTGGATGTTGCTCAAATATATGATTCTTTTTCACCCCTTAATGATATCTAAAGATAATTTTTGGATTTCATCCAAAGTCATTCCATGATAACTCATGTAGAAGTCAGCATGATTGTGATATCAAATCCAGTGGCATAGCTAAAACCCCCTGCCCTCTCCCCAATGGTTTGGGAAAATATATTTTGCCCTCTCTGTTTTATGCATTACAGATTTCATCAGCCTAAAATTGTCCTTTATTTTTCATTTCAGAAAACACAGAGGTTCCTGGAAGCTTCTAACCATATCACTTGTAAGGTATTAAATACTTCAGTTTTCAACAATAGCCAGTGTAAAATTCCATGCAAGAAAGAGGAGGTCAGCATTGTTATCACTAAGAACTAATGCCATGTATGTCTGGTCATGCAATTAATTTGGCATAGGTATTATGCATTATACTGAAAAATTTAACAAGTTTTTATTCTTGGCAGAAATTTAAATTTGGATTCACCTTGACTCTACAGTGGAATTCAAAATCAATTTGCATTCAATGGAATCTTGTAAAAAAACTTAATTTTTTGCAAGAATGCATTGAAAAATACTCTGGTATTAAAGATTATGTGCAGTATATATGGTTACCAATATTCTTAAAGTTATCTGGTCCCAAACCTGATCCTGTATTAAGTAAACCTTTATTAAGTGGTCACCTGCTATCAAACAGACACTTGCCAAGATCAATTCACATATATTTTTTTGTCTAGGGTTGATTCATAGGTAGGCTCAGAGGGGGGCCCTTTTTCTGAAAGTTTGTTAAAATATTTAAGAATTTTCAGTAAAATTAATTTTTGGATGCTGTAGATGCTGCCAGAGTTCTCTTGACACCAACTAAGAAGAACTATATAGCTGGCATATTAAGTCTTCTGGCTCCCTCTTTTCTGGTTTTGCCCTTGTTTTTTGTCTACACCTGTACTAAATTGTGAACCTGTCATAAGCTATCAGATGGTGAACCTTATTCAAAATTCTCATGCCATCTAAACACAATTGAGTCACAGTCCTCATAAACTTTCATTCCATTATTATAACCTTCCCATATTGTGAACCACACTAGCCTGCATAGCAGGTGCTTGGAAGTAGTGGGCCCACCCCTTGCGTGTCTCCCTCGCGCGCGCTCGTTCTCTCTTTCGCCCGCTACTTCCAAGCGCCTGCTACACAGGCTAGAACCACACTATATAATAATATTTTACACATGAATAAATATAGTTAATCATTGTGTTCTATTTCTTATAATCCACTTTTAGCTATGCCACTGGATTTATTTTTTGGAACATTGACAACAACTTTTGCTCCTCTGTGAGGTAAGAGGTACTACAAAGTGTCGGTTGCAGCATTAAAAGGCTGACTCCCTAGATAATATATACAGTTGAACTTCAAAGTGCGACCACCCCTCGTAAGTAACCCTGAATCCAAAACACCAAAATTTGCCCAGTCAAAGTGTTACAGTTGGAATTTGTAGTAAATGACCACCTCCTGTAAGCGACCGCGACCACTTTTTGGGCCTGATGGTTTATGATTTTACATTGTTTTTAACCTCTTGTAAGCGACCACTTGACACATTCTCCGATCTCTATTTTCTCTGTGTGCACTATATTCTACTAAGAATATACGAAGAACTTTAGTCACAACGTGGAACTATACATGGCGTAACTTAGACATTGCATGCAATAAACAATTATCTTCCATAAAGTAAAAGTGTCTGGACCTCTTCTCGGAAGAGACCCCCTGTGGTTCGATTCTTATTAATATAGGCGACCACTCAGTCTTTGCATTTAGGGTGGTGACGTTTACGGGAGATTCGACTGCATAATTATATTTATCTGTAAGTGGTATGTGCATTGCAAAAGCCATGATTTTTGACCCCCACTGGTGTGAAGTAGGTATAGACTTCAACCATCTTAAGGTACAGACAAACGGGTAACAAAAAACGCGCAATTTGTCTTGCAACATTGCTGCAAAGCGAGTTGAATAGCGATGTTGCGCGTTTCACCACCAACGTTCAAACCTGTTAACAACCTGATTTGTTGCAAGACAGGTTTGATGTGGCTGGTAAAACGCGCAACATCGCTATTCAACTGATTTTGCAGCAATGTTGCAGGACAAGTTGAGCGTTGTCTGTTGCCCGTTTTTCGATACCTTTAGCCCTTTCAGGGCGCCAATTTTATTCTTGTTTAATTCCTTGCAGATTGCAACGAAATCAATTCCCTGTACCCATGAGACCATTCTTACAACTACACGCCGTATGGCATACTCTAGCAGCTATAGGATCTTACTATCACATTCTTTTCAGGTATGTAAATAAAATATAAATTCTCGTTACAAAAATCTTCAGTTCGTTCAGGAGATCATAACCCGGAGGGAGTAACTTCCATGTACTTGTTTCACGGCGTTTTCACCGGCCAGTTTATTTTTAGAACTGTTAGAACGGTTCTGGCACGAATTTAGAATACAGTCAAACCTCGTTAATATGGACACTAAGGAGGCCATAGAAATTGTCTGTATTTACGGGGTGGCCGTATCAGAAGTGGGTTGGATTTAGAGAAAATGTAAGGTCTTTCTTTCCCCAGGGACAAAGAAAACTGTCCGTAATAATGAAGTGTGCGTAAAGCGGGGTTTGATACCTACTGACCTTGTAATGACGTTTAGTTTTCCTTTTTGATATCTTATGCTTCGAATGCGCTTATAGACGGGGAAGAAAATCCCATTTTCGTTGGAAAATTACTCTAAAATGTATCTTAAAATAAACCGGTCCCCCTCGGAAACGCCTGGGGGCGTACTCCTGGGAATTCTTGGTGGGGATGTACCGCCGGGTCCTCGAAATTCTGGCCCTACTTCGGTAGTACCCCCCTAGGTTCTCTGGGTGGGGTGGGGGAGGGCACCTTGGGAACTGACTGGTGCATGAATTCTAAACGGATGGCGAACGTATAAAAGAAAACTGTACAACAAATCGCCATTAACCGGCCCAAGAGATCCAGAGTTAGCAATAATTACAACCCAGAAACAGGAAAAATCAGTCATCATTATGTTAACCTGCGAAAACAGTTGTTTCTCCTTGCTCTTCGCTCTTCGCCGCTGAGGACGTTTCGCGCGAAACGCCCCCAGCGGCGAAGAGCGAGAAGAAGCGGCTGTTTTCTTGTGTTTTCTCTTTTTTTGTGTGTATTGTGCTGCTGTCATCTTAAACTTAGGTTGCTTATGGAAAACTATCTGCACATTTTCAAGCATTTTTCTGGTGCAAATAACTTTTTTTTTTCAGGTATCTTAAAAAGTGGTCTCTAGTTTGTAAATTAACAAATTTATTATATGGCTGAATCCGCGAGCGGGCAAGATGGGCCCGCTCGGGATTTCCCGAGTTGTTCCCGCAAGAAAAAAGTTCTCTTTTTGGCCATATAGTAAATCCCTTATTGACCAAGCATGTTTGGTCAAGATGGCTAGATATTGGCCTAGTTCTTTGATGTGTTTTTATTGACCAAGACGAAGTCAGGTTCAAAAAAGAACTTGGCGAATATTAAGGCATCTTGATCTCACGCTTGGTTAATAACTCATACGTGTATATGACATTCATTCCATTCGCTTTTCATTCTTTAGCATAGATCTAAGGCTGCGATGCCTTGGAAGATCCCCCGCACTCAAGGTTTGTTGGTGAATATCTTATCAGAAATATCCCTTATTGTGTCCTAGATTATTGCCCCCGCAGGGATTTCGCCCAGAAGGCGAAATCCCGAGGAGGCACTTCTAGTAACTCGCGGTTATATTAAGGAAAGTACTTACAGTCGAAATATCCAGTCATACAGTCAATATAGAAAAAATTTCGATTTGCTTGAACAGGGGCCGTGAGGAATCGGTAGGTAATGATGACGTTTCTATTGTTTGCGCCCGCAAGTACGAAATGATTAGGATGACGTAAAGACAGAACATTCCCAAGGGACCGCTTAGGTAGATTTTGTGACATTTATTGTGCAGTCATACTTCGACACTCTTTTGCGTTACGTGTTATCAGTGACATTCTGTGGAGCAGTTGTTTCAGTGAAAGTTATGGACCAAAATTTTAACGACACTCGTTAAGCGCAGAAGAAGTTATAAGGTGCGTATAACTGTGTATAATATATAAACACTTGGAGAGTTTGCCAGACACGAGTTCACAAATCTTTCATTGGAAACCTTGCCAGACACTCTTTCTCTCTCTTTGACCGGAATGAGACTCAGCCCCAAACAAGCAAGACGAGTGAACAACGGCTAGATTCTCACTAGCAGAACGATGGACGATTACAGAAATTCGCCGACAATCAAATTCTGTGCTGACTTATTCCCTGCTCGCAGATGTCCTTCCACTATAAAGTTTCAAATAAGACTAGAATGCGCGAGTTTGAATTGATCAAACGTCCTTTTAATTTCTAAGGCTTCCTTTCCGGCAAATAAAATGAACTAAATGTAAAAAGTGGAAGAGAAATAGCGAAAAATTCAACTTCTAATTAAATATTCTTGAAACTGAGAATGTTTTGATCAAAGCTGTGTAAATCGACCTGAAACTGTGCATGGAACCTTGCGTTTCCTGTATTTATCTCACCTATTGTACGGAATATGTAAGAAAATCTTCCTTATGAATCAGTATATTTCAAAGAGCTACACAACGAGCAAGAATGCTATTGACTGACAATATACAGAGCGGGGGCAGCTGTAGTGTCAACTATTACTAGTCATATTTAAATTGATAAAGCACCGCGACGCTTTATATAGCCTGCGTAGCTGCGTAGCAAGCGTTTCCGTGTGCTTTCGGAGCAAAGAAACGACGTGTGCAAAATCGGCCAAGTAAAAGAGGAGGGAGGGGGAGGGAAAGGAAGGAAACCTCCCCTCTCCCTCACCCTGTTTCCTTTTTTGGCGCTCGTTCCATTTTTCGCACGGTCAAAAGCGGAAATCCCGTTTTTAGGTCTTTTTTGCTTTCTTCTGAAACCCCACGGAGACGCTTGGTACGCAGGTTTTCTCGGTGCGCGCTTATTTGAAGGCTACGCATTTTCGCAAGCGGCGCTTATTGCTGTTGTTGTTTTTTCTTCCTTTTGTTAGAAAAACGATACGAACAATTGTAAGAACATAACAATAAGTTAGTTTTAACAGTCTATGCCCCCTTCCAGATCCAAACCTATAGCAATAACCGTAAATAAACAATCAAAATCAATAAGCACCCCTTGTTTTTGGTATAGGTTGCGGTGTTTTTATATATTTTGATCCTAAGGGCGGCGCTTATTGGCTTATCGGTGGTCCATAAAGGCCCAACAAATGTACCAATCAGATCATGGCAGCATTGAGCGCGGGAAAACTCTTGCGAGCCAGTCACGATCAGTGACGACTGGTTTTGGTTTCACTGCAAGCCAATCATCCAATCCAGCCAATCACAAAGCGCGCGCGCAGCATTGCAAACCAGAGCTAGTTCGAAGTTGCTTTCGATATCCAATTGAATTTGGGATACTCATATGAAGACTGTGTTAATCGTGATTTATTGTTTTTTTCTTCAGCTTTACCGTGATTGGCTGCCCTTTGTCTACTCAAAAGATGCTCTGTCAAATGGCGTTCTCCCGACCGTGGCCCAGAAGGCAGCCATTTTTCTACTGCTGTTTGGTCTTATCTTGAAACTCTTGAAATAGGATGGAATTCGTACAGCATTTACTTAGGTAATCTACTTGTTTAAAGGTAATTTAGAAGGGACTTAGCGCAATATAAAAAATATAAGTGAGGGGTGAAATGATTCAACATAGATGTTTAGAAAATGAATTAAATTATTTAGCTACTAAGTAGAAGCAGAAACCCATAACTGGTAGAAGTAAATTTCGTACTCCAGTATAATATGGTGGGTAGAATGTTAGGTAAATTCTTTAAAATATGGTTTTGTAAGGTGAAAATTGGTCGAGAAAATTGTTCCCAAAAAATTGCAGTGCTTCCCCACGGTTTCTAATGATCCTTTTGTGGTGGCAAATTGATAACTAGCTTTAATAAATTCCCGCAGGCTATGATATTTTCATATTTTTCAATAGGTAGTAAACTGTCACGGAAAATCACAATAAATTAATATTTTTGCATGGGGTAATTAAATATCCATTCAGAAATTGGGTAATCAGGAATTTCCTTACGTGGGTTTAAAATATGAATTTAATGAATTCTCCATACATATTAGTAAACTGAATTTTAATTAAGAGCATTTGTAACACTTCAGCTGCAAGCTGTTTAACAATTATTCCTCGAGCCCGAATGGGCTCTGAGTCAATAGTCCATGAGGCCGAAGGCCGAATGGGCTATTGACTCAGAGGCCATGAGGGCGAGAGGAATAATTGTCTTAGTAAAATCCAACTAGTTGGTCAAAAATATCGAGAATAAAAAAATTTTAGCTAGTTAAAAGCTAGACTTTAATCCTTTTTTTGCCGCCAAAAAAGCCCGCGCTTTTCGCTACTAGAAGGCTATAACATATAGCCCAGTAGTAGCTCAACCAATCAGAACGGAGCATTGATGATAAACCACTAGTTGGATGTTACTAAACAGTGTTATGCGACGAATTCCCCCTGTCTGCGTCGAACAACTCAGCCTGATCGTTTCTGAGCGTTCCGCCCAAAAATAAAATTGATAAAGCTCTTCAACCTTATCACCATGGTCTTCTCGTTTTGCAATATGTCACCGCCATTTTGGAAAACGAGAAGTCCCTGGGGTCAAGGTTGATAAATCCCAGCAGGAATAGCGGTTTCCCATTGGCCATTTAGAAATTGCGCGTGAGACTGGGTCGATTTTGTCACGAATTGTATTATGGGACTGTTTTGGGGACGCTGCGACGTCAGGTTACCATGGTAGCAATATTTCTGGATCTCAGCAATCTTTCTTAACAGAGACGGCCATTTGCATTGTCGAACGATGAAAGAAACGTATGGGTTACCGTTTTGTTTCTCATTGCAATCAAGCTTAGGAAAGTCATACATGTCCGCATTTTTGGTTTCGCTTTTTTCTGCCATATCTGCTGGACCAAGGTTTTTTCAGATCCAGAAATTGCTAGAAATTTACTACCATGGCAACGTGACGTAAACGACTTCTCCTCTCTATACAGCCCAGTTTGTAAGCGAACAGCTTATATAAAATGGCCACAGAAATTCGTGAAGGTAGTGGATAGTTAGCCTGCGTTGCAGCCGGTCCACGCACTAGTCGAAACCATTTGTTGTATACAGTTGTTTCGTAAAAAGGTTGTCGGAAAAAGTGCACGCGACAATCCCGAAAGGTATTGTGGGTGGTTTTGAGTTTACTGTTCTTCAAAGAAATTTGAAAGAATGGCACGAGAGGCCATGGACGTATGTTCGTACGTGCTGAAGGAAAGCAAAAAAAGATGTGTTGACAGCTACAGTGTCTGGAACGGTGTATTGATCATATCCCGTATTTCCTTTCGGGAACGTCGCGTGCACATTTTTGCGGACAACCTTTCTCGAAATAGCTGTGTACAGAAGGTTTAGAGCGTCTTGCGACGCAGGCAATAGATAGTCCGTTGTCTGTGTTTATGAATTAAGTTCTGAGTGTGTTGATGTCCGGTATGTGCGCCATTGCACATATCGGAAGAGGTGTTGTTATATTCCACAAGTTGTTGTAAAGTTTAAGTTAAAGCGAACATTATATTTATATTTATTATTCTTAGGTGATACTATAATATACAAGGTAGTATAATATCTAAGTTAAAACGTATTTATTTCGTTTTGTAACGTTGAATTATTTAGCGTTAAATCAAAGAATTTGTGTATACATCCAGACAAACTGGCCGAGTTTGTTCGAAGACAAGCTACCACCAATTCACCATTGCCACATCTCTTATAACATTTGTTTGCCTCCCCCCACCACATACCCTGGGTGCCAGAGGCTTTTCATGCGCGGTTTCCGGTTTCGGTCAAAAAGTGACCCGCACGAAAAGCTTCGCCCCTTGTGTCTTCGGCCTTCGGCCGAACACGTGTCGGCCTGTGGCCGACGAAACGAAGCTCCCCGTCGCACGCGAGAAGAAAACCTCTGGTACCCAGGGTACTCACCACAATAAAAGGTGCATAATCTTAATTTTCAATTTCTCCTGGTTATTACAAGCATCCCTAGAGAAATTGAAGAAAACGCTTGTGCAAACTATTGGGCAACAAAGAAGGTGTATTATGAACAGCTCCGCCCGGTACACCCCGTATGAGAGTGCGTACTAAGTTTCATAAGTGATCACCCATTTGTATAGCGTGTGCATTAGTTTATTAGTTTTTCACCAGACACTGTTTTTGTTTTGTAACGTATTTATCGTGCTTGGTGTCATTTCCCTCGCTTAGAGCAAAGCTTCACAAATAAATTTACCACGTTCAGTAAGTTTTTTCCTCGTTGTAGTTCCTTAATATACGTTCAGAGGTATTGGGATGGCCATTGGATGATGGTGTAGTTTTCTAAAAGAACTGGCTCTCTCTAGCCTAAATTTCAGCCCTCCCCTTGAATCGCGTACTCCCGAGAAGGACTTCTGAATCGACGAGCCACTAATGCTGTCCAGTGACGTCATTACTCATTTGCTTTAATTCATGCAAAAAGTAAACACTATTTGAACTGGCAAAGAAGGAAAGGTCTACATGATACAGAATTGTTTTGGTCTTAAAGCATAATTCATGGAAAACGTTCTAACTGTTAACTACATGCAGCATTCTACGCGAATCTATTCTTTGGCTTGTTGCGTTCGAGGTACGAGAACGCAACCCCTAATTTCTGTTGCGAGTCCTGTGCAATTAATAGGCGAGATTTTTTGCGTCGACACACATTTGCCTCGCTTTGAAGAGCTAGCATACATTTTGCCTCACTTTGGCGCTGTAACTCGCCTGGTGATCTGTTCCTATCTTCGTAAAGCGTTTTTCATCTTTTTCATGATCGTCTTCGTATTTAATTATCTAAATAGCTAACAAACACCTCGATGGTATTCTCCTTTAGCCCCGATTACTCCTAGTATAGCGCCATAATTCAATGATCAAACTCGACCGCGGCCACGCAAGAATGAAGTACACGCGGGAAACCTCCTTCAATTTACTCCTTCAATTTAAAAGAAGCTGGAACTGGAACAAGTCGTTCACACACATCGAACATCGTTCGGGGACAGTTGGCCTAGAGGATCACAACTGTCCTTACTTTGAATATTTGCTTACGAGATTTGCTAGCCTGCGTTTCTTGATGAACTCGCGCGGAAACGCTTGCTACGCAGGCTAGAGATTTGCTTACGAGATTTGACTTAAAGTTTTTTTCGCATATTCTCAAATTAAAACTAGACACACTGGAAAGCTTCACTGTACTTCTCTTTCCTGAAGGAAATTAGTAAAGTTACCTCCATTGAAGGATATTAAGCGCTTTCACGGTCGCAAAATAATAAAACCTCTACAACTGATAACTTGTTTCATGGTTAGTAGCTAGAGGAGACTGATTAGCAAAGCTGGCAAACATGAAAGTTGAAAACAATGGTGCTGTAGGTTATGTTGGAAGCTCCCTGACTGTGCACAATCCTTTGTTTTCTTTTCACAAATTATGACTCAATAAATTAATGCAATGATTCTATTGGTCAATAACTTCAAAGTGATAGGAATGCTGTTGAACGTTCAGGGGCACCCAACGAGCATATAGTTCAAAACCACTTAACAAAGCATTGTTGAACGTATTTTAGTATTTAAACGGTAGATATAGGTATATTTTTATCCCCTAAAAACTTTTCATCTGTTCGGATTTCCTAGCTGAAAGTCTAGTGATCCGAAAATTATAGGGATCAAAACTTACCTTTTCGAAAATTTTAGCCAGGAAAAGGCTCCCGAAAATTCTAGGTTGCCTTCTTTAGGGTAAATATCCGTTTAAAACGGGTAATTATACCATTTTGTAGATGTTCGAAAATCCTAGGAGAGGCAGGCAGGCAAGAAATTTTACAACAAATGTTCCGAAAATTCTAGTTCTCAAATCGTCTTCCGAACAGATTTTTTCCCGAAAATTGCCGTTGGGTGCCCCTGAACGTTGTGCACGGTCAGGTCCAAAAAAGCTAACAAAAACATATAACAAAGGGTTTCCCAACCATTCCACTTTAATTAACTATGCTTGTGTCCGCCACCACCACAAATTCGCTAAAACTCGTAGTAGATTCACGACGAATATCACGGTTTTCCGGCAAAAATGACGCTGGTTAAACCACGGCGCGAGCACTAGTTAGTATTGAGAAAATCGCGTACTCGTCGTCCTCGTCTTAGAATCAGGGGCACCCAACGAGAATATAGTTCAAAACCACTTAAAAATAGCATTGTTGAACGTATTTTAATATTTAAACGGTAGTTATAGGCATATTTTTGTCCCCTAAAAATGTTTCGTCTGTTCGGATATCCTAGCTGAAAGTCTAGTGATCAGAACATTATAGGCATCAAAACTTATTCGAAAATTTCAGCCAGAAAAAAGGCTCCCGAAAATTCTAGGTGACCTTTTTAGGGTTAAAATCCGTTAATAATGGACAATTATACCACTTTTTAGATGTTCGAAAATCCTAGGAGAGGCAGGCAAGCAAGAAATTTTACAACAAATGTTCCGAAAATTCTAGATCTCAAATTGCCTTCCGAACAGATATTTTCCAAAAATTGACGTTGGGTGCCCGTGTAGAATCTAAAGGTCTCTACGCACTTTCGCTTCGATCCGAATGGTTGTTCACACTGCGACGAAGATAAGAGTGGCAGAAACATATCCAATATGTGACGCTCCAATGTCAAGATCTGCGCGAAGCATTATCGCTTCGTTAAAGAAATCACACTGATATCAGCGTTTTATGTGTGATTTTATACGATGGCTATGGAAAAGCATTCAAAAATAAGTGATGAATTAATAGATTTGATATATTTTATTTGAAAAGAACACTGTTATCCCAAAACCTTTTATGCAAGAATTAACTAAGTCAACTTCAACTTCAACTTTATTTATTAAAAATGGTTTTTACAATAGACTGGCCTGCAAAATAGCAATTGCTAATCCAGGCGGCCCAGTTAAAAGAAAAAATTAATGAAGAGAAGGAAAATGTTTTAAGTTACAATAATTCTTATTCTATGATTATCGTGATTAACGAAAACGTAAAAAGAATTTACGAAGAGGTTGAACGCATATAATTTTATATATACAATATGAAATTACTTAACTGTTAATCCAACTTTTTTAATTATCCAAAGAAATAATAATGGCGTCTCAATCTAGTCATTTTATCTTTTAAGTTGAGTTTGCAGTGTTAAATTAACAGATGCTCCCGGCGGCCGATTTTGTTCTTATTTTAAGGATTTTTCTCAAGTGACTTACATCGTCTTACTGGACATCCTGCTCAACTGAATTGCACTTTTTTAATTTATCGTTTTATTTGTTTCTTCTCGTTTTCTACATGGCTTAAACACTGGCTAACACTTCACGAAACATGACGAAAGCGATGCGTCAAGAGATCGTGTTCGTGTAAAACTGAGAAACGAAGGAAAGTCAAACTATATTTTGGAAACGAGAAAGCTACGACATATCGCTCCAAATTCAGTGACAAGTTTTGGTTTTTTATTAATTAATTTTCGGCATTGTAAGAAGTGTTAATATCGTATAAACCCCAAAGTTCTTTTAATTAATCCCAGATTGAATTGATGATGAGTCTTGTCGCATGGATCTAACTTTTGAGTCTATGGTCAAAATTCTATGGTGTTACCATTCAAATGAAACCTCTTCAGCAGTACTTTCACAGCTGGGTACTATTTATTTAAGTATTTAGTTCTAACATTTGAGTCTGTGGATGAAATCCTATGGTGTTACCATTCAAATGAAACCTCTTCAGCAGTACTTTCACACGATACTATTTATTTAGTATGTAGTTCTAACCGATTTGAGTCTGTGGATGAGATCCTATGGTGTTCACCATTCAAATAAAACCTCTTCAGCAGTACTTTCACACGATACTATTTTTTTTAGTATGAAGTTCTAGCATTTGAGTCTGTGCCGGATGAAATCCTATGGTGCTATCATTCAAATGAAACCTCTTCAGCGGTACTTTCACATGATACCATTTTACCTACTAACTATGATTTTACAAATTGAAATTTGGATATTTTGTCCTCTTTCAACCATTTTTGGGAGTGAAAGGGTTAAAAAGAAAAACAAATATGTTTTTTAGACTATCGACAAAAAATCGAGAGAATGGGTAATCAATGAAAATATAAATGTTGAAGAGGTTTTGAGTAGTTGGGGCTTTTATCTTTTCAAAACAAGATTACAATGAAGATTATCCAGCAACGCAAATTAATATGTATTCATTCATTTCTCGCGTACGTAGTCCATGGTTCAGGAGTCTCACCTTAATACATGTTTAAAACACTATTGGAGTGCTACTTTTCGTCTTCGATGGAAGAAAGAATCTATTTCAGAGCACGTTACAAAACTTGAAGAAAAAAATCGTAACTTTGGATTTTTTACTGTTTTTTTTTTTTTATTGAATTCATGATAAAAAACTGGGGCTAAAGAAAATCAAGAAGACAGGTGAATCTGATCTTTATTTTCATTCCTAATCTTCTTTGGTTTTTGATGATGGTTGATACAAACTCACAAACACGAAGTTAACAAATGTTATTTCACCATAGAAGTTATTTAATGGGAGGCATCTGCGAAGTTCAGTGTTGTTCACAGGAACTCTTAACACTGAATTGAAATATAATCTCGTCCAGCTAGTCGCAAAGAAAGACGAAGTAGAATAAAACGACATTTTGCAGAGTTAATAAGTCTAAGACAGAAGCGACAGTAGACGATGAACTCAAGTCACCAGTCGGGTCCAAACAAGTTCGACTTGAACTGCGTTGTCAACAGTCTAACTGGTGACAAGCCCGTTGACTTTTCCATTTTCGCCAATGCTGTTCGTGTCGCCTTCATCGTAATCCACGCCACCACCTGCCCTATCACCATTTTGTTGAATCTGTTGGTGATGATCGCTGTGAAGACCAAAGCACGACTGCAGAGAAAGTCTAACATTGCATTAGCCTGCCTAGCCTCGACTGACTTGATGGTCGGATTAGTGGCTCAGCCTCTCCTTATTGCCGTTATGGTGAACCTCTCCGGTGTATGCTCTCTACAGATTGCCGTTAAAATTTTCGCTAACTTTTTTTGCTTCGCTTCCTTTACTCACCTGTTCTTAATAACTATGGATCGATGCATTGCTATCACGTACCCCTTTATCTACATTCAAACCGTCACCAAGGCCCGTGTACTGATTGGCTCAGCTCTTGCATGGGCACTGACTGTAATCATTCACATAGTGTTCTTCATCGACGATGGATTATTTGAATCTATCAT